ATCCAAAAACATACATAAACATATACAAATACATATACATATACAATGTAAAGGAGTCCTTTTAGGCCCCGCTAGCACATATTTCTCGAGTTATTATCTCCGGATGTGGCAAATACCTGGTGCAACTGCTGGAACTCATCAATATTACCTTGGTGCTGCTCTTATCTTATCTGCAGTTCCTGTACCGTCGTTAGGCCAGCATTAGCTACCCACGTTACACCGGCATTAGCGGCTCCAAGTGATACCGGGCTATTTTCAAAACTTGGCACGTATAGTAATAATTGGGTAAGGAAATGTAGGGACCGACATGGTTCTGTGAAGCCAAAAAATTGTATACAAACTGTTGAATATCTGGTAAGTGTTTACTGGGTGTCTGGCCCCCGATAATGGCGCTATTGATAGCTGCAGCTGTATCGGGGCTATCAGCTGATCTCATCGTTGTGTCATCTGGGGTTGAACATGTTGGTTGTGATTTGTTTGTTCTGGTCTCGTCTCTCAGGTAGGGAGGGGGTACAGTGTAACAATCAACCCAGTGTTTGTGGGGTTCGGAGTTACTTCCCTTCTCCCCATTCCCCTGTGTTTGTGAGGGTTCGGAGTTACCTCCCCTCTCCCCATTCCCCTGTGTTTGTGAGGGTTCGGAGTTACCTCCCCTCTCCCCATTCCCCTGTGTTTGTGAGGGTTCGGAGTTACCTCCCCTCTCCCCATTCCCCTGTGTTTGTGAGGGTTCCCCGTTCTTTTATCTGGTTGTATTTTACAGTGGGTAAAATTGATGTTGTCTAAGTTATTCATGACACAATGCGCTATTGAAAAAAAAACGCTTCACAAGCACGACATTGTGTAGGCTATTGTAAGGCTTATACCACGAGATAATTAAAATTGCTCCCCGCTGTTGATCAACAACTTTCATGTTGAAACTGTTTTTTCTCTTAGTCTTTGCATTGTTGCTGGCTATTTTATGGTCACTGTTAGAGGCAGTTGTCCTTGCTGCAGGCTGTTTTATGTGAATGGTCAATATTACAGGCTGTTTTATGTGAATGGTCATTATTACAGGCCCTTACATCAAGCTGTTGTATGTGTATGGTCTTTGCTACTGGCTGTTGTATGTGTATGGTCTTTGCTACTGGCTGTTGTATGTGTATGGTCTTTGCTACTGGCTGTTGTATGTGTATGGTCTTTGCTACTGGCTGTTGTATGTGTATGGTCTTTGCTACTGGCTGTTGTATGTGTATGGTCTTTGCTACTGGCTTTTGTATGTGTATGGTCTTTGCTACTGGCTGTTGTATGTGTATGGTCATTACTGTAGGCTGTTGTATGTGTATGGTCATTACTACAGGCTGTTGTATGTTGTATGGTCCTTTGTTGTAGGTTGTTGTACGACTACGTTACAGGTTGTTGAATGACCCCTGCTACATGCCGATAAACTGCCAGGCTACAGTGTCTGTCCCATCCATGCATTCAGCTAAAATAATGTGTCGTCCAGCTCTCTAAATGTCAAGCCCGTGCCATGTTTTATTGCATGTAATAAGATGTTTCATGGCGTGTAGATAGCAGGACGGGAGGGAGGGGGAGACGGTCACAGAGACAGCAGGATGTACCCTGACCTTTACAAGATTACAACCAGCCAATGCTGTGTGGTAGAACAAAAACCTGCTCAAGTTTATCAGAAGCTGAGGAATTGTGTCGGGGGGGGGGGGGGGGTACGACTCTTGTTGCAATAAAGTTGGTGTGCTGGTTTAGTGCTAGATAAATTAGTGAGGCAGATTATGTCCTTACTGTACCTAGTGTGTTGCGTATTTATCTTTAAATTACGCCTAAACATGCAGAGCCATCGTTTTTTTTTTTGTACAAAGGTTTCCTCTCTAGTCACATGTATAATAACGTGTAATTTAACACAATGTGGCTTAACACCACGGGTAGTGCACTCATTTTCTCGCCCCATTTGTAACAGTGGGTCTTATATTTTAGTGACTTGTTACCTGTAATCGGGCCTTCTCCTGGGGAATATTTTTTTTTTACTTTAAAAAAAAACTTTATAAAATAGGTTTAAAAGTGTTGGCATTGTATAAAGGAGGGTTCGTCTGTAAACTGTGTATCCTAAATAAGCCACTAAAATTTTAACTTGAAGAGATTTTATTATGAGCTAAAGATTGTACTTTTAAGGATAGCTGCGTGAATATAGTCATTGTTGTGACACTCTACTACATTGGTAATAAAATATTTGTCAGGAGGGTTTTATGATCGTATGATGTAGTACTGCCGCTTACACACAATGTTAACGTCAGTTTTTTTTTTAAATTGTCCGCTATACTTGACTATTAACAGAACGATGTGTGATATATCTGTCATAGAAAAAAAGTATATGTATACATATGTGTCGTTGTACAAACCAAACGATATGTTTTGTACCATCAAAACAGTGTGTCAAAATATCCGTTGTACTTTTGTATAATGAAAACTATGTGTAGGTATATCCGCAACAAAGAGGTGTAAACATAATCTTGGTTAATAGAATTTATGCAGGCATTACCTGGAGAGCTTGAAGAGTGTTTTCACACTGAGTTGCTCCCGTTTAGACAGAGAGAAGCATTGTGTTACTGCCCCTTTCTTCTGATCTACTGTGGGTGCCGCTACCCGTCCTCTTTAATCACGACCACTTGCAGAAAGGGGTGTACGACAGGTAGCACCACAGCTGGGATACCTGGCTTGTTTGCTTTCATGCTTGTCAGGTGAAGACAGGTAGATGGCGAGTTGCAATAGTTTATGTCCTGTTATGTCTTTTGGGGACTAGGACATTTCGTGTGCCTTGCCTTGGGGAAGAGAAGGGAGGGGGGGGGGGGGGGATATTTCACGTATCCTCTTTAGGGATGAAGATTATATTTCTTTTCAGACTTGAGGGGGAGTGGTGGACATTTCGTGTTATATTATATCCCCAAACGACTGGTTGACTGCGCATTATATTACCCGGGCAGATTCTAGATTTCTCGCCGCCCCTCCCCATGATATTTATTGTTTATATGTCGCTGTGCGTGTTCTCCCTTAGCTTGCCCCTAGTTTACATCCTTTGGTCCACTATACAACCTGTCGACATTGTGAGCAGCCTATATGGGGCATCTTCTGTCCTTCAAGCTACAATACAGATAACCAATCACATTGACTGGCGGCCATCTTGGCTTGTTACAGCTGTCCACTAGCAGTCTGAAGTAGCCGATAAACCAAACTTCACTGATAAAAACAAACTATACACATTTTCTGTCAAATTTCTTCTTGATCTTTAGATAGGCTCTATCTCAAGGGCGCAATGAACAACACCGTCAACATTTCTGTTGTGTATAGGTCACCTTTTATAGCACAAGGGGGATTGCTCGGGGATTCCCCTTTTTGGCTTCGCATGAACAAGCGTCTGGATATAAAGCTATTGTTATCGCCGCGCATATATCCGTTTAGGGTGCTGATGACGTAGTGACTACCGATATAGTAACATAGGATAGACTAAAAACCGCACCTTCACGTGTAGTTTTTAAGTTGGTAAACATCGCATTCCTACTGAGCCAGTTAGCTGGACTGACGGAATCTGTCACTAATTAGTGGAACGGATTCGTTAGTGAGATGGTTGTAAACAAACACAAAGTACATCATGGTTCGTTTTTTTTGTCTCTCTTTATCTATAAACTGTTAGCTCATGATTACTAGATTTTAATCTAGATCTCTTATATTATTTTTTCAATTTTTAAAGTAATTAATTTTAGCTAATAATTTCCCCCCCCCCCCCCCCCCCCCATATTTTGATTAGTAGATTATAAATGAGCTAAAAATGTTATCCAGTTCGACAGGGTATCCGTTTAATGAAGTAGTAAGTTATGGTTTATGAAGTAATGAAACTATATGAACATCATGAGTAATGGTGATAATATTTTGAGATGTTGTTTATTTTTATTTTTTTTAATAAAGGTGTATGAAGTAGTGAAATAACATGAACCATGTTTCTTTCAGACACCTTTTCTTAGGGGGGGGGGGAGACTTGAAATATTGGGGAGGGGGGGGCACTGGTTTCAGTAATATATTTTGTGTATAAATTATATTGTGTTCTGTGGGGGGGGGGGGGGGGGGTGGAGTGACATGCTTGTGTCACCCTTCCCCCCCCCCCCCCCACTTCTTTCCTAAGAGACACATGAAAGAAACTTTGTATGAACATTCTGATTACAGTTGAATGGTTGTTGCTCAGGTGTTTGAAGTAGTGAAACAATGTAAACACCATGAATGCTCCTGAATGATTGGTGCTATGATGTTTGAAGTAGTGAAACAATGTAAACACCATGAATGCTCCTGAATGATTGGTGCTATGATGTTTGAAGTAGTGAAACAATGTAAACACCATGAATGCTCCTGAATGATTGGTGCTATGATGTTTGAAGTAGTGAAACAATGTAAACACCATGAATGTTCTTCTGCTCCTGAATGATTGGTGCTATGATGTTTGAAGTAGTGAAACAATGTAAACACCATGAATGTTCTTCTGCTCCTGAATGATTGGTGCTATGATGTTTGAAGTAGTGAAACAATGTAAACACCATGAATGTTCTTCTGCTCCTGAATGATTGGTGCTATGATGTTTGAAGTAGTGAAACAATGTAAACACCATGAATGTTCTTCTGCTCCTGAATGATTGGTGCTATGATGTTTGAAGTAGTGAAACAATGTAAACACCATGAATGTTCTTCTGCTCCTGAATGATTGGTGCTATGATGTTTGAAGTAGTGAAACAATGTAAACACCATGAATGTTCTTCTGCTCCTGAATGATTGGTGCTATGATGTTTGAAGTAGTGAAACAATGTAAACACCATGAATGTTCTTCTGCTCCTGAATGATTGGTGCTATGTAGTTTGAAGTAGTGAAACAATGTAAACACCATGAATGTTCTTCTGCTCCTGAATGATTGGTGCTATGATGTTTGAAGTAGTGAAACAATGTAAACACCATGAATGCTCTTCTCCTCCTCAGGTCCAGACTCAGGCACAGATCAGAGTGATGATGAGGCTCTGTCCCCCACTGACCAGCAGGTACATTTTATCTTACATCTCTCTCTCTCTCTCTCTCTCTTTAACAGCATGGCTTGATTGAAAACTTTTTAAAACAATCAGATTCTTGTTAAATAAAAAAATATATCAACTATAATTAGGCCTTATTATTAAAAAAAAACAAATATTAGATATAAATTTGAATTAATATTAATCAGTCAATCGAAGCTATGGATAATAAGTATGGCACTATAAGGTCTACTAAAGTTCGTCAGTAAAATTATTAAAAATGTCATACAGCTAGAGCCTAAATCTAAACAATATTATTTTTCCTTTAATCTCATTAATACAAACTTATGAAGCTAGAATTTTGTATCAATGTTTTGCATTGTTGTATTGAAATGTTTTGGACAACACTGTCAACAATGCAGCTTAGATGTGAGGGAAACAAAAATGTAGTTTGCCTTCAATAGCAGCTTGTTAAAGGTTCAAAGATCAGTTTTAACATTTTTAGTACATTGAAGTTGTTGATTCAACCTAATAAGATCTTATAAACTTCTTTCTAAAAGAAGTTTGGTTCTATTTTAAATCTCAATGATACAGAAGATTTATGATTGAATGGTAGGGGAAGGAAGCTCGTAGAATATTATTTTTTGCTTAATGTTTTCTGTTAGTTTTATAAATTGTTCATTCAATTTAAATTAAATCTAATGGCATGAGTTTGAAATTTTCTTTTTTAATTTTCTTTTATTGCTACCTGGTTACTGAGAACATGAAAAATGTTTGTTTTTTTTTTAATGAATTTTTTTTTATAAATAACTCACTGACTTATTTATATTAATTTGTGTGTAGTTATGATTTTAAAATAAAAAACACCATTAATATTCTCGTTTGTGAAAATTCACTCACAGTTAATTTTTTAATCATGCCAAAGCCAATAATTTGACGACTAGTGCTCACTTAGTTTTTGATCTTTTGTTGCCTCCCTTATTTGCTGATTGCCTGTTTCTCCACCACCTCTCTGTGTGTGCATGATGGGCTGTGCTTTGCTGTAGCTCCCAAGTCCCTCAGCTTCTCTCAACTCCACCTCCACCACCAGTAGCTTCAAGCGGAACCACTCGGTACGTAGCCCCATACCATTAGTGCTAGCATTGGGTTGTATGTTTGCACAGGGTGTTTGGTTTACAGAGCAACTTTCATCTAAGCCTTGACAGTCACGCTGATGTTAACAGAACAGTCACAGCTACGAAGCTGTTCTTACTTAATTGTAGTAATGTTTTATTGTATTCATGTTGGTTGTCATCTTACATACTTAAATATTTTTAACCTCAGCTGAAGTAAGTTAAAAGGCTCATGTCAAATTTAAATTACTTTTTTAATATATGTATGTTGAAGGTGCAGTGTAAACTAAGTAAGGATTTATTTTTATTTAAGATTTTCCTGTTCAATAACAAGTTAATATTACAACATAAGGATGGCTTTTATAAATAATTGTCTGCGTGTTATGGTGGGGGGGGGGGGGGGTGAATTTGTAGTTATGGGAGAATTGTCACAGGATATGTTGTAGTTATGGGAGAATTGTCACAGGATATACTGTAGTTATGGGAGAATTGTCACAGGATATACTGTAGTTATGGGAGAATTGTCACAGGATATAGTGTAGTTATGTGAGAATTGTCACAGGATATACTGTAGTTATGGGAGAATTGTCACAGGATATAGTGTAGTTATGTGAGAATTGTCACAGGATATACTGTAGTTATGGGAGAATTGTCACAGGATATGTTGTAGTTATGGGAGAATTGTCACAGGATATGTTGTAGTTATGGGAGAATTGTCACAGGATATACTGTAGTTATGGGAGAATTGTCACAGGATATACTGTAATTTTGGGAGAATTGTCACAGGATATACTGTAACTTTGGGAGAATCATCACAAGATATATTGTAGTTATGTGAGAATTGTCAAAGGATATGCTGTAGCTATGGGAGAATTGTCACATGATATGTTGTAGTTATGGGAGAATTGTCACAGGATATACTGTAGTTATGGGAGAATTGTCACAGGATATGTTGTAATTATGGGAGAATTGTCACAGGATATGTTGTAGTTATGGGAGAATTGTCACAGGATATACTGTAGTTATGGGAGAATTGTCACAGGATATGTTGTAATTATGGGAGAATTGTCACAGGATATGTTGTAGTTATGGGAGAATTGTCACAGGATATGTTGTAGTTATGGGAGAATTGTCACAGGATATACTGTAATTTTGGGAGAATCATCACAAGATATATTGTAGTTATGTGAGAATTGTCACAGGATATGTTGTAGTTATGGGAGAATTGTCACAGGATATGTTGTAGTTATGGGAGAATTGTCACAGGATATACTGTAGTTATGGGAGAATTGTCACAGGATATACTGTAGTTATGGGAGAATTGTCACAGGATATGTTGTAGTTATGGGAGAATTGTCACAGGATATGTTGTAGTTATGGGAGAATTGTCACAGGATATGTTGTAGTTATGGGAGAATTGTCACAGGATATGTTGTAGTTATGGGAGAATTGTTGCATAATACATATTTGCTCCCCCAAGCAATGCTTTGGAATGAAATGTGATGATGAGTTTTTTTCTAAGCAATTATTCCATCAGAATTATTTTTCATTTTTTACCTTTGTAGAATAATGTGCTTTAAAAAATTGATATTATTGATATGGGGGGGGGGGGGGGGTGGAGTTTTATGTGAATAGTGGAGAGATAATGCAGGGGAATGGGATAGAGCTATATGCTGATGAATAAGTAAGATAGGGCTACATGCAGTGGAGTAGGATAAAGTTATACGGATGGGTATGTGATATAGCTACATGAAGAAAATGGATTACAATTATTTACAGAAGCTAGAATAGATTAACAATTTCTTTTTTTCTCAATTAGTCTTAGAGCTTTATTTTTTACATTTTTAACTTAATGATTGACCAACTGTAACTAGAAACCATATATTGGTTATAAATGATCAACTGTAAGTAGAAACCATATATTGGTTATAACTGAATGATTGACCAACTGTAACTAGAAACCATATATTGGTTATAAATGATCAACTGTAAGTAGAAACCATATATTGGTTATTACTGAATGATTGACCAACTGTATGTCACAATTGATGAAGCAAATGTTACTAGTCCTGATATCATTTGATGAAGCAAATGTTACTGGTCCTGATATCATTTGATGAAGCAAATGTTACTGGTCCTGATATCATTTGATGAAGCAAATGTTACTGGTCCTGATATCATTTGATGAAGCAAATGTTAATGGTCCTGATATCATTTGATGCAGCAAATGTTACTAGTCCTGATATCATCTGATGCAGCAAATGTTACTGTTCCTAATATGGACCAATAAACCTAGCCTCTCGTCACTTGACCACTGCCTTCACTTTACTTGTATTTTTAGTTCAATTTGTTTAAAATAACTTCTATTCAGAGATTACCTCAGTTTAATAATTTAAATAACAAAGTGTTGGTTGATTAACTTTAGTATAAATTTAACCATTGAAGTAGATATCTAATGATATGTGTAAGATGTAATGTTTGTACTTGACTAACGTACTCCTCTCTCTGTCAGTGCTTAATGCACTCACTGACTGGGATGTGTTTCCCCTGGTCTACCAGCAGCAGTAAACAGGTTGGTGTCCTGGTGTAGCCCAGCTGTCACAGTGTAGACCTGCCCTAGTCTAGTTCAACACTATCTTTATTTACCCTCAGATTTGTGTATCTTTTGTTTCTAGACTACCAGCTCACATTTGTCAAAGTTGTCAAGAAAATTCTGTTCACTTTGTTTGGTTTTCCAACCATTAAATTAGATAAATCTAGAATAGGAAGGTGTCTACATCCTTGTGTGAAGGTATCTAAGATACATTACAAACAGATTTTCCAACTATTAAATTAGATAAATCCAGAGTAGGAAGGTGTCTTCATCCTTGTGTGAAGGTATCTTAGATACAATACAAACAGATTTTCCAACTATTAAATTAGATAAATCTAGAGTAGGAAGGTGTCTTCATCCTTGTGTGAAGGTATCTAAGACAATACAAATAGCTTTTCCAAGTATTAAATTAGATCAAGCTAGAGTAGGAAGGTGTCTTATCCTCATGTGAAGGTATCTAAGATACAATACAAATAGCTGTGAGGCTACTGTGTGCCATTGCATAATTGATTCCAACTTGCCTTATCTTTTTGGCCCAATGTCAAGAATAATTAAAGAACTTTTTGTTAACTTAATGAATTTCTTCTAGCAAGATTGTGTTGTATTTTCTTTTTTTATTCTTGTAGATTTGTTTGTTGATGCAGTTGTACTTTTATATTAATTAAGTAATTTAACTTATATTTTACTTTACTTTTGTTCTTTAAGATTATATAGTTGTGTGTTGTAAACATTTATTTTATCATCAGCATGTAATGTAGTGTACTTAATTTTATAGACATTTTTAAAACTATTTCAAGATCTAACCACATTATATTATTACTAATTAACTTTAATCATTCTAATGGCCTAATTTAATTTTTCCTCATTGTGTGGTTTTCGACATCTGTAAATGTAATGCCCAATCCCATTGGCTTATAGATATAACACAACATAATCAGCTCACAATGTGACTGCTGTAGTATAAAATATCCAGACTTGTGACAAGATGCTGTTAGCTATTTTTATCTGTGTTCCAATGTTTGCATGATTGGATTTGAGAGGAAAAACAACTAATGTTAAAAGAAGATTAGAATTATAAACAATGATCTTTTTTTCTTACATTTGTTTCTTGTTTTTTGCTTGTATTCTTTTTGACACATTGTTTACCTATCTTTTATAAGTGTGAGTTCTTCTAATCAACATTTTAAAGCATATTATACTGGTGTATTAATTAATTAATGCACTACAACTACTTTCACCAATGTTATAAATTTAATTAACATCTAAAATCTAAAAAAATGTATTTTAAATTAATTTTAAATATATGTCAATTTTGAGTAGCATGCAATTTTAGTTTTAGTTAACAAAAAAAAATAACATACATAGGGTTTAATTTGGCTCTATAGGGAATCAAATTATCGATAGTTAATTTTCTTCTAACTAAATTAAATTGGACCTGTTATGTTGATAGTTTTACCAAACTTTCTGTAAACTAATATTTCTTGCATCTTCGGCACTAAAGGATTCCCTTGACTCAAGAAAATCCGAGCCCAACTTTGGACGTTTCTACAACACAAGTTATCTAGGCATGGGACGGCCAGCCTATGTCAAGGGTGCTGCCCTGAACCCTAAAGAGAAACAAAAGGCAGTTAGTGGATCTCATTTCCATCGCCCTGGTCAGTGTTTTATAACTCATTTTAGGTTTTAAACTTATACTTCACGCCTGACTTTTAAAACTTGTAAAAAAAAATGTGTGTCTTTGTCTTGAATATTTAATTTTTGCATTGTAAAAAATATTTTCATATGCTAATATATTTCTATGATGATTTGAATAGTTTTCATGACTCCTGATTTTTTTTTCCAGCAAACTTCACATATTCAAAAGAGCCTCCAGATTTTCTTAGGAAGAAAGGTACTGTTGCTAAACACTTGTACAATTGTTTCAACTATTGCCAGGTTTTTTAAATATAAAAAAAATACATTATTTGAATGAGTCTTATTAAAAATATCTTAACAATTCTGTAACCACTCTCGTCCAATTAGTCGATTTTTTTGAAGGACACATGTTTTTTATTGCTTTTTTAGATAAGGTTGTAGAACTTCAATTATTTTGTTTTAAAGTTTATATTTATTTATACACATTTATTATTTTTATTATTTTATTTTCTCGCAGCTTCTGGGATGGCTGCACTTGGTAAGAATTGTGTGGAGTTTTGTAACCTTTGGTATCTAATACTAAATAAACCGGGAGTGATCTCCCCTAAACTTTCTCGAATATTCTAATATAACACTATGGGGGATGGCAACTCGGGATATAGACTTCTAGACATAATTTTTAATCCATTTTAATTACTCAAATTTTTAAAAATAGAATATAATCTCGTAGAAAAAAGAAATGCACACCAAGTGAACGCTAAATAAAGATGTGCATAATAGTGCGCAATCTTATTAATACTTTATAAATTTACATGCGTTTTTTGAGAAATCGGAAATAGCGTAAATAAGTACTTCCGGTCAACGGAAATTACTCAAAATTTGACAGAAGGTAGAGAATTAGATCTTTTACTTACATATCAAATTTCATTTATCTATCTGAAATAGTACTCAAGTTATAGGCTTTTGAAAAATTCAAAGTAGAAAAAGTACCACTTCCGGTTATCGGAAATCGCTCAAAAGTTGATACGGATCTACGATTTTGATAAAATACTTATATATGAAATTTCATCAACCTAGCTGTAACGGTACTCAAGTTATCGTGTTTACACACGGACACACAGACAGACAGACACACAGACAGACACACAGACATACGGACAAGATTGCAAAATTATGTTTTTCCGTATCAGTGAGGTGTAAAACGTCAAGATTTGTAAAAATCTCGATTTTTTTTTTTTTTTTGCACGATTACAAGACTTTCTCTATACTTCGTATATACGAGAAAGTAAAAATGAACATATTTTAAAAACATGTCATTTTTTTAATGATTACATTATAAATATCAATTTAAAATACTGCAGGTAAAGTTAACTTCTCTAGTCTAACAAAGGCTTGATACAGACTTAAGATTTGAGACACAGTTGTAGAAGTTAGTTCCCAGCTTATGTTTGAATCATTTGTCTCATAGCGTCAGGTCAGCGTCGTGTTGTCAAGGTGAGGCGCAGCTCATCCCCAGCTGACCTCCGAGCCCAAGAGCCCATCCGCATGAGTATGTTTCCTAGTGCCAAACCAAAGCTGCCAAATGAGCCAGATAAAATTGAGAGGGACGACTGGCCAGCACCTGCTTCACCTGCAGCTATCTTACCTGAAATTTGTGAGTCTTCAGCATGTTTTCATTCACATTTCACATGTCTTCAATGTGTTTTCATTCACATTTCACATGTCTTCAGTGTGTTTTCATTCACATTTCACATTGGTATGAAATTTGTAACTATGCAGTTTTTGTCCACATTTATTCAATATGAAATTTATAAATCTTGCTGTCTTTTTATTTACACTCATATTTGATTCTCTTTATATTAACTTTTTTTACTTTTACTGAAATATGTAGTATTAAAATACTTGTCTTTACTTCACATTCCACTCCATTAACATAAGTTTTACGAGAACTGACTTTGTTGATTTTTCTCCCCATAGTAAGACAACGTAGACGAAGTAGAGGTGAGAAAGATGAAGATGATGATGATGACGAGGTCCAGGAAGATCCAAGAATCAAGCGTGAGCTGGAGGAGATATCTAAGATAAAAAATGAGAGCGGCATCGGTCAGGTGATCTACAAGGAGTTGGATAAGCTTAAAGCCAAACCTCACATGCCTCTAGATCCATGGAAGGCATCGCGAGCTCCCAGTGCCAAGTTTGAGCCGAGGTACCGGACCAGGTACCAGTCACCCATGTTTGCCTGTAAGTTTTGCCTTTTTTTAGTCTCCTATGTTAGTAAGTTTTGCTAGTCTCCCATGTTTGCAAATTTTATTGTTAATATGTTTTTCAAACCTGTTAATTAACTTTTATCAACTCACTGTGGAGTTCGAAGTGTATATTAACGTTCATATTTTTGTCTTACCAACAGCGCCATCTCGTTTCCTGGACAGACCACGATATGCCTGGGATGACAGTGACATTAGAACCTACAGATCTGCTTCAACATTGGCCAACCTACCCAGTAAGTTGTGTGTTCAAATCCTCTTGTGGTGTTGATATTGTTTCATTTTAAACTAACTTTATTTATCTGATCTGCATGGCAGTTAGGTTTTAATGTTGAGCTTAAAGGACCATACTTTAAACTCATGTATATCATTGGTGTCAATGCTTTTTAGTTTCTTATCTTGCTATACAAAAGCCTGTATATAATTTTACATTTTATTTAATGTAAACGATTAATTGACTACTTTTTAATTAGAACTTCTTAAAACATCGGAAAAATATTTTTTTTGCTCTGCTGTAGCTGTTATATTGAGGGGGAATTTCACAAAGTTTTATTTTACTATAGAAATTTTTTATAGTAACAATAACTAGCATGTATAATGCAAGATATTTTTGGTTGTAAGTGTGAGTCATTGATAGATGATGTATCTTTCAGTTAAAAGCCATTCGTACCATTGACACTTGCCTCTCAGTTGCCATGAGACTAGGTGGCAGCACTGTGACTATGGTAACCATTCTCATTGGTTCCAGAGTTCATTTCTTTTGGATTTCAAAACTTTTATTATGTTGGCATTTATTTTTGTTTAGGTTTTTGGCAATTGTTCAAAAGTTGACGTTTCCTTGTTGATATTTATGTTTTTACCAGTAACTGTTAACTTATTTTTAACTTACTTTAAAAAAAAAACTAAGTCATAAACAAGCCATACTTAAGAATGTTGTGTTAGCTAAAGAGATTTTTAGTTTAATTTTCATTAAATAACACTGAGCTAGCTGTTTGGGTTCAAGTCACCCTAAAGGCTGTATGATAAATATATATTAAAATACTAAAATTTAGACGTAGAATGCACATACAGGTATGCCTATATGTAAGATGTATAAAATTGTCATGTGCAGCACCCAAACCTGGTTATGGCCCATCATATCTGGCACCAAGAGCTGCTACCCTGCCTTTAGCTGGAGCTTATGGAGCTAGAGTTGACTTTGTAAGTACACACTGCATCATTTTTGTAGGTTATAACTAGCTAGCTACTGCAAATTGTTTATTTACTTGTCAACACATATTTGAATGATCTGTTTTGATTTCAGCGATATTTTGACTTTGGTGAATCAGATGGAAGAGAGAGATCTACTCGTAAGTCAATCACTTTTGTATCATATCAATGATTAATCAATGGCACAGGATCCTGTTATCAATCATAATCATGGGGAAAATTGGTTTTAGACATGTCATTGCAGAATCTCTGGGTTGTAATATAAGTGTAGTATTTTCAGACAATCTTATAGTTTAACCAGTCATATGTTTATATATAGGGTTAGAATTTAAACTCTTGCCTTTCAGCTATTTCTCCATGGATCCCAACAATGGGAACTAGGGTTTATTAGTTTTAAAAAGTTGCTTGTGTAGTCTTTCAAAAGAGCAAAATCAGGTTCTGTACTCCAACAAAATATTTGTGTTTGTTTCAGATACTTCATCCTCCACTCTCACAGGGGACACTAGCTCTAGGGTAAGTCCACACTGACCAAAATCTGCTTGATATTTTAGTTGGTCAGTCATACACACTGACCAAAATCTACTTGATATTTTAGTTGGTCAGTCATACACACTGACCAAAATCTGCTTGATATTTTAGTTGGTCAGTCATACACACTGACCAAAATCTACTTGATATTTTAGTTGGTCAGTCATACACACTGACCAAAATCTACTTGATATTTTAGTTGGTCAGTCATACACACTGACCAAAATCTACTTGATATTTTAGTTGGTCAGTCATCCATACTGACCAAAATCTGCTTGATATTTTAGTTGGTCAGTCATCCACACTGACCAAAATCTACTTGATATTTTAGTTGGTCATCCATACTGACCAAAATCTGCTTGATATTTTAGTTGGTCAGTCATCCATACTGACCAAAATCTGCTTGATATTTTAGTTGGTCAGTCATCCACACTGAACAAAATCTGCTTGATATTTTAGTTGGTTGGTCATTTTATTAGTTTGCTCTAGTATAAGTCGGCACTGACCAAAACCTACTTGAATTAATTACTTTAATTTGGTCAGTGATTTGGACTATTTTCCCTATGAAAATGTAACTAATGTCTTGATAATTGTATTCACCAGAGGCATGACTGGTCATCTAGTGCTCATGATGGACCAACAATATCTTTACTCCAACTCCAGAAAAATACCTGGCACACAGAGATAGAGCCAACAGTAAGTGTTTTGTTTGATTGCCAAATAGTGTGTTGACAGTGGTTATTGTGGCCAACATTAATGTTTAATTACCCAAATAGTGTGTAGGCAGTGGTTATTGTGTTAATTAGATGTCTTGTTTGTTTTTCCTTTCAATGTCAGACTTTGATATTTTCTTCTCTCCAGATTTACCCTTATGAAAAGCTAAAAATAACAAATTTTGATCTGCCTAAAGATGTGGACACAAATCACTTAGAAGTAAGTTGTTTTTATCTGTGGTCTTATAGGAACTAACCATCTCCCTACAATGTAAGATACCATCAGACATGTAGCACATTTGTAAGATACCATAAGACATGTAACACATTTGTAAGATACCAACAGACATGTAGCACATTATTTGTAAGATACCAAGAGACCCATGGAGTTAGACTTAAAACTTTACTTGATCACCTTCCTCAGATCCATTTGTCCAATCAAGAGTTTGAGAATTTGTTTGAAGTTCCCAGGGAAAAGTTCTACAAAATGGCAGAGTGGAAGAGGAATGATATAAAGAGAAAGCTACACTTATATTAATTCTGTAGTCTTTAGGTTTTTAATTATTCTCATTCAAGATGATTTCTTGTACAAAGAAAAGAATCTTTCTAAAAATAAATACATGTACTATAAATCACAGAATTTAAACTAGAAAATTGCATAAACAGGGTTGATTGCTGATATAATTTGAACACATTTTGTACACAGTCATGTTGTATAATATTTTTTTGACCTGTTTTTTGAGGAGAAACTGAACTTAGAACTTGTAGATTCACTTTTTGTTTGACTTACTGAAACAGTGCATCTGTTACAGTTACTGAAATAGCGCATCTGTTACAGTTACTGAAATAGCGCATCTGTTACAGTTACTGAAACAGCGCATCTGTTACAGTTACTAAAACAGTGCATCTGTTACAGTTACTGAAACAGCGCATCTGTTACAGTTACTAAAACAGTGCATCTGTTACAGTTACTGAAATAGTGCACCTGTTACAGTTACTGAAACAGTGCATCTGTTACAGTTACTGAAACAGCCCATCTGTAACAGTAAGTGAAACAGCCCATCTGTTACAGTTACTGAAACAGTGCATCTGTTACAGTAAGTGAAACAGCCCATCTGTTACAACAGAACTAGTCTGTGTGTTGATAACTTTGATGCATCTAGCATTTGTTATTGTCTCTGGTGCTTTACATTTTGACATCTTTGCCTTCCTTTAATATCATGCTGAGTGTTGCTATCTGGTTCCATCAAAGACGTTTTTAGAAACATCTTTCAAGTTTTTACTCACAATATGTAGGCTAGATAGAATACACACATATTGCTTGAAATATCAATTAGGATTTTTCTTATGAGGGTGCATGTTATACTTTGGTTATTGTAAAGTTACAATGTTAGAAAGGGTATGTATACTACTTTTGGTTATTGTAAAGCTACAATGTTAGGAAGGGTATGTATGCTACTTTTGGTAACTGTAGAGTGAGAATTTAAAACAAAATGTTTGGGGTTTAATTTATATGGCACAGGACAAAAATTGTGATCATATGTTTGCATTACAGAGACTTCAGCACTGGATATTATAAATATATTTGCAACAATTTTTTTAACCTTTTATTTGTGACCGTACTGTTAATAATTATAACTACCCCAAACTTGCTCGGGAAAAAACAACTAAACATTGTACAAAATATTTTACTTGAAATCACCATTGTTCAGTAATAGTTAATATGCTGTTAACTTGGAAAATTTTTACCACTTAGATTTGCTTGAAATACAAACAAGAAATGCGTATTTAATCTGATTAAAAGTGAAGTTACCTGTACCTGAAAGGTAAAACCTGACTTTGTCTAGCTGAGGCAGGTGAATGTGATAACTCACTGGTTTTGTCTCATGTATTTGACCTTTGAACTGTAGAAGTTGTGACCTTGTGCCAGTTTTTGCATTTGCATACACCACTTTTTTACCAAGCTATTTTTGCTACTGGTCCATTTTTTATTATGTTACTTGGCTGCAATCTTATTCTAGATCAGTTTTAGAACTTATTTTTTAACATTTTACACCATGTTGTGTTTTATTAAGATTTTTTTTATTGGTAAAATATTTTAGTTAGTGCTTTGTATATTTATTTAAATGTACTCAAGTTTCTTAAAAATATGTAAATAGTGGGTTTGTTAAGTTGCCTTTTAGTAGTTTTAGATGATTTACAGAGCCAGATTCATTTGCCTTTCACCACATGATGCAGTCAGTCAATGCTGATGTACCACTGCATTAAATTATACAAAAGTGAATATTTTTTTAATATAAGAAAATTGGCTCTATTTATGCTTATTTTCATCAACCTTAACCGTAAGGCAAGGTTGAAGAGTAGTTAGGCTATTTTTTTATTATTTACCCTGGAAAAATGTTTGGGAAGTTTGTATTAATTTTATTTAATGTAGTACCTCTAGTGCCATGGGCAACTTGTAGAAATGTGTACATAAACCACCCTTTTTGTTGTCTTATGAGGTGTAGCTAGATCCAGTTTTTGTTCTTCTAAATTATTTATGTACAAAGTTCTTGTAATTATGTTTCTATTGCTAAAATTATTTGTGTAAAAAATATATTTCATTAAGTCACCAAGCTTTCATGAAGTTTAGCCAAACAGATGTTCGGTTTGAGCTCTCACATTTTCCATCATATTATCATAGATATATTATTAATATTTGCATAATTACCTATGGGAACAAAGCACAAACTAAAGAATAAGAACTAATGATTGAAAGCTGAAATATTTTTTGGACAGGATGTGAAATAATACAACAGATGTGAATCAATTTGTCAACAAATATTTGAGCAATGAAAATTTCAAGTGCAATACTTTAACCAGCTGCCACTTTGTTTAATTTACAATGTCTACATCCAAGTCAGGCATAGAGATAAGGGGCTATTATCAACTCAAAATTATTTTTTTCTGTAAGTTTATATTGAACAAATTGTTGGACAATTGTACATAGTTGAATGTTATACTCTTGACAAGATCTGTTCACCCACAAGTATCTCATCAGGCAAACATTTAGGTTCTAGAGACAAGAATTTTGGTGGAGCAGCTTTTGATAAACCCTGGCAGAGTTTGATAATATTAGTTGTTATCTAAGACTAGCAAGTCTAAGAGAAAGGTTTTAGGTGACATCCCTTAGTGTAAGCTGTTCCTTATCTCCCCTATCCAAGCTTCTCCTTCTGATGTATATGCCTTGGTTTTCATTCAACCTGCTTTACTCATTTATGTGTTAGGTGTATGCCAAGAAATAAAGATAGATAAATTCAATTGATGTGTTGGTTATTTTCTTTCATTTTACAAAAATAATGATAGAAATGTGACTTAATTGGCCCCTGTCATTTTTTTTCTCATTAAAATAAAGCAGATTTTTTTTGGAGTTGATTCTAATAGCTGAAGGAATTCACCCTCAGGACCCTGTTAATTTTAAAAACCCCATAAACTCAGGAAATTCAGATCCTGTCAAACTACTGATATTATGCTCAACTACCTCACACTAGTGCAGTCATAAATTGATATCTCGGAACTTACTAGAAATTACATTATTTTTTTTTAAATTGCTGATTAAAAATTCTTTTGCTTGTGACTGTGCTGCCTGCATTTTTAAATTTTAATCAAGCTGCAATATGAATGAAAATGTTTGAAGAATATTTAAATTTATGATATCAAGTAATTACACTAAAAAAAAAATTGAGTCAAACTAGTTTATTTATTGAATATTTATATACTATATTTATAGAGGCACAATTGAAAATAAAATATACAAAGAGAAATAGATACAATATACAAGTATAAAGAAAACTTGAAGATGTTTAATTTTCTGACTTCATTGATTAACAGGAATAATTGAAGAACATTTTTGTGACTTAATTAAATCAGAAGAAAGCTTAATTCCTAGAGATGAAATATTGCTATATATTTTAGATGGGAAAAAAAAAAACTTGAAATCTCACAATGAAAGGGTTGAATTATAAATTATAAAAAAACATCTAAAAACAAAATATCTTCTTAAGTCCAATCTTAACAAAAGAAATTATTTTAAAGATTTTTGCCAACATTTTGACAGTTACAATTACATATGTCAAATACAAATTAAACACATTTCCTATGCAGTACTTATTTAGCACTAGTCTACTTGGCATTTAAATGTTTTATTAATAAACCAGTGATTAACTTTAAAATAAAAATTTCATTTTGAGTTCCAGCACATAAGATTAAGAACTGACAAAAATATATTCAAAAAGTTAAAACATCAATACAAGCATTAAAACCTATTTGAATGCGATATTTCACATAAAGCGAGCTATCTTTGATTTAAAACTATAGTTCAATGAAACCCAACCTCTCAACCAGGATTTCAACATTACCCTGTGTGTAGTATACCACCTCAGAGGGCCTCACTGTACTGAGAAAACTTAACAAAATGAAAGTGACCAGATAAAAATATTTTATGTAGGTTAAAAAATAATGAACACAAACAGGATCACATTAGGTGGCTATGAATGTATGTGACTGACAAAATAAAACTTCAACAGCTGTTAGAGCTGGTTTCTTTGGTTGCTTATAAGTCCCTAACACAAGGCATTACAAATAAGTGCAAATCTATATATAAAAATTGTTTACACCTCCAGTCATACAAGGAATATTTATACACATCGATAAAGTCAAGGCTTATTTCACACCTTAAGGCTTACATGTCTATAAAGTCAAGGCTTATTTCAACCCTCAAGACATACAAGGCTACGTGTAAAACTTATGTTGTCTGAACGGCTGGTCGCTGAGGAGTCTTCCTTCACTTGGGGCCTACAATAAACCTGTGGTGTCTATGGCTTCTACCCACTCTGATTCAACCTTAATCCTTAAAGACAAGTAAATGAAATATTCTCCAGAGATACAACTTTTTAATCTAACTACAGGAAAAACTAAATTCAAACTTGGTCCGCTGTGAAGGTTATACAATTAAATGCATTGCTTATTTTACATAACTTTTGTAATAGAATAAACATTCACATGATACACTTAAAAAAAAAAAAACATTAACTTTTATATCCACATTTATATTGAAAGGAGGTATAGTGGAGGGGGTAGAATTAGTATAAAATATACAGCAAACATTTCCAAAAGCAGTTATAGTATAATTATAGGTAGAAAGGCATGAATCAGGTGTAAATGTTCTATCCAATCCATAATGTATTTTCAATAGAGATGAGATAAATTATTTTTAAATTGTTGCTAAAAACCCATTTGATTTAATATTTTTGTGCAGCAAAAAATGTAATAGGACTTAAATGAAAAATTTAAAACCACAAGCTATACGCATACTTAATAATTACATAGCTAATTTTGTTTAAATTAAATATTTTAAAAATGTAACCTTCTATAGAAGAATAAATTAGGACAATATTAATTTTGGCATTTGGGTGACTTGATGAAACAAAATATAGGCTCTAAGATGATACAATTTATTTATAGATTATATTGAAAAAAGTGAAACAAAAAAATCTTTCTGCAGAAGAACTGTACATTACTGCTTACAGAATGTTATTTATCCTCCAATAATTTGAATGGATTAATGTTAACAACTAGTGTTAAATAAATAGAAACACTAAAATATATATAGTAAGATCATGCATGTTACATACAAAATTATAGATTGCAAAAAAATAATTTATTCAAAATGGCTGACCGACTCGTGAAATTGTATAAGGCCTCAGTGGATGTAAAATAATTAATAACCAGCTGCCATATTATAAATAATTATTTTACCAACTTTAGCAAGCTATATTGGCCAGCTAAAGACTGCTTTCTTCAAACATGGCAAACCTAAACAGGCAATGATGACCAATTAATTATGGTCCAAAATTCATGCAAATAATTATCCCATGATGCAATAAGCTGATAAACAATGGAACATTGTATAACAATTTTTCTAATTCCCAGAAATATTTACTATAGAATAGATGATCATATGATTTGTAAATGATAGATAGAAAAATATCCAGAATTATGTTGTATATGAGCTAAGGCCATTATAAACTCTCTCTCTCTCTGATTCAAAGTTGACACTGATATATAATATAAATAAAATGGATGGTTTAAAAAAAGCCAAAATATCAATTTAAAATTATATACACTAGAATGTGTAATCCATCCAGTTCAATTTAAAATAACACCCTGATCTATTTATACACAACACTTAAAAATAGCTAGAAAGTACATTGAGAGACATGCATGTGCCCATGAAAATTGATGTGAGAATGCTTGCATTATACAGCCGAGTGCGACATGCTATTTTCTGTAGATCAAGCTGTGCTTTAACTTGTTCAATGCTGTGGTTTGGGGGGCACAGGTGGTGGTTTGTCATCATCTAGTGCTGGGGGTGGTGGTGGTGGGGGCTGCCAATACAAGATTTACTCATTGTATATTTTATACAGAGGAGGCAAAGAAAATAAAAGAAATGATGTTAAAAAAATACAAAAATACATTTGAAAATAATATGAATTGAATCAGAGTATATGAAACATAAAAACTTCAGTCATTGTTGACTTAAAGACTGAAAATTAGAATTCCTCAGTTTTTTATTTATTAAAATTTTTGTATAAAGTTTTGACACCCATCATGGAGTTAAAGTTAGAATTCCTCAATTTTGTTTTTGTTGAAGATTTTGCTGAAGATGCTCACCTTCTGCCTGTTGCCTGCCTGGCTGACTGACGAGGCTCTGCGCACGATATCTCCGGACTGGCTGAAGTGGTCAGAGTAGCCGAGCTTCTGGGGCAGGGGTGGCGCCGCCTCACCATTTCCTACCTCATCAAAGGTGTCTGAGGATGCACCAGCTACACATGAGAAACAAGAATTTGGGACAAGTCATACAGGATGACATGTCAGACATATAATGTCATGTCTCTAAGCAACATATAAGATGTCATATAATGGCTGAAATGTTATAAATTGATGTCACATAAATGTTCACATGTCACAATAATACTGACATGACAACTCTTAACATTCCACATAACAACTGAAAAGCTAGTGATAAACTGAACATATTTTTGCATTGCCTCCCATAGAAGATCCTATCTGCATAAAATATATTTAAAATTTTAAAAAAGGTGAACAAAAGCATAAAACTATCACCTCCTGACAATCTTTTGAGCAACGTGTCTCCTGAGTGTGAAGAGGTCAAGCTGTTTGTACTGCCCGAGTAGGTGTTGGAGAGCTGGGCACTGGGTGGCCGGCTGGGTCGTCTCTCTGGTTCTGGTCGTAGTGGACGTTTGGGGGTCAACTAAACAATAGAATATCATATTAACAAATGATGACTTGGGTAGTGGGCATTTGGAAGTTAACTAAACAATAAAATTTAATTCATTCCTGACAAACTATTGTAAACTTGGGGGTCAACTAAACTAAAAAATTAATTTTAAAATTGACGACTGACAACTTTTTTCACTAAGGGTCTGTATAAACTAACATGCTAACACCAATCTAAAAACATTTTCTGCAATTATTTACATAAACCTAACCATAAGTAAGGTGAAACAAGTTTTTTTCAAAATCTGATTTTCAGATTTAAATACTGAAAATTAAATATGCTGAGAAGTCATAACATTAATTTAAGTACATGTGACATAAACATAATTTTATGTAACTTTCAATATAGACATTTATACATAATATAGATAAGTGGAAAATATATGCAAAAAATAAATGCGTACAAAAAAAAGTGTTAAATGTTATAATTTTGGGAAAAAGATATGTGCATGTTTATATATGTTAATTTATTTTCTAAGGAGTAAATGAACACAAAATTAAATTCTTCATGACCCTAGGAAAAAAAAAGCTTCTTTACACAAAGAAAATTAATGTCAACTGTATACCTTAACCATAACTAGTTAATCCCTAGTGAAAGAAAATAAACATTTGGGAAAAAAATTAATATTTATAAAATTATAAAAACACTTCATTCCGATTTTAAAAACAAAAACCATATCCAATCCAAATATAAATTCACTGAACTGAACTAAACCGTTTTTTCCCAAGTAGACTTAATGATTGGACAGTTGGCATTCTTGATGATGGGGAAGACTGCAGTACAGATAAAACATGTTAAAACTAATCTAGCTAATTATAGCTGATTATTTCTCACAAACATATTGATACTTCAGTTAATGCATTCATTAGATGTACACAAGGAAGATACTAATGTTATTTGGTTATTGGCATAAATAGAAACTGATATTAACATAATAATGCACATCTAAATACTTCACTTTGAAAAAATGCGAGTGTGAAAGGTATACACATTAAATGATGGGAAGGAAGCATCTGACAATATTAGGTGATAAAGCTGAAGTGTATTTAAAAATATGAAGACTGGTTGACCAAAATTAAAATGACCAAAAATGGAACTAAAAAGACGGATGCTTGTGTCTGATATAATTACAAAATGCTGACTAGTTTTGTGGTGTGTTTCTACATGCAACAGTTAGTGCTAGCATATGACAAATATTTCTTGCCATGTTGCAGGGTTTGTTTGTTTTTTGACTAATTTTCAAAAAAAAAACAACTAGAAAACTTATGCAAATAATTAAATACTGTATGTTTATGTGTAAAAAAAAATTGTGAAAAAAAAAAAAAACAGAAATTTTTATTTATGTTGAAACTCTACTACCAGATTAGAGAAAAATAAATTACTTGATGGTATTTCATAATTTTTTGTCCACCCATATTAATTTTTTTATTTTTAAAATTTCTTTCGAAGATTTTTTTTTTTTTCAAATAAATTTAAATGAATTTGTCGCCATGAAATGATCCACTGAAAAAAAAATGTAATGATTCATGCTGCTAACTAGTAAATATATATCTGATAGCTGAACAATGACATCCCACACACTTTTAACTCCACCTTTAAGACAACCATCATACAACCAACGCAAGGCTTTAGGGCTAAAAGTGGGTGGTGGTAAAATTCTTCATATCCCACACACATTTACCCCTCTCTCCCATTATACAACAAACGCAAGATTTTAGGGCTAAAAGTGGGTGGTGATAAAATTCTTATCCCACACACTTTTACCCCCCTCTCCCATTATACAACCAAGCCAAGGTTTAAGAGCCAAAAGGTGGGTGGTGATGACATAGTTCAGCCAGATGACAACACAAAGGCCGATGGTTTAAAGCTTATACAGTACCGTGCATGGAGTAACACTGTGGTGGCAGACCTTTATTATATTTACAATAGGAGAATTGAAAAATTTACATTGATCTATTGAGCTATGTACTTCATGTAAGACCAAGCCTCTTCTACTTTTCAAACTAAAAACTACCTGTATAACAAACCCAGGGTCAAGAAACAGGTTGGGATTACCCGTGGTTTCATGCTGTGTTTAACTCATTTTTAATTATGGATCATTCAAGTTTATTTTTAATCTTTGCTAAATTATCATTCACCTAGAAAGAAAAACTTGTTGGAAATTTAAATTTATTGTACAACTGTACATTTTTATTGTTAGGAATTCAGCTCTATTTTTAAAAAATGAATAATTTTTCATTTCTTTTTCAAAAGAAAACTCCTATTTTACATTTTTTTAAACTTTAAAAAAAAAATTCTATGTACTATTTTAAACTTTTAAAAAGAAAACTCCCATTTTCACTAATGATTGTGTGATAATTGGTGGCTATTAAACTAAAGGCCTTGATGCCAGCACAGAAAAACAATAGACATGCCTGTTCACTAAGCTCAATGGCTGGTGATTCAAGTGAGTTACGATGTGAAACATCAGACAACTGCTCAGTGACTTGAGAGACACGCTTTTTTAGCGTGCTCAGGCTGACCTTTGTGGACGCGCTGGACTTGGCAGAGCTGGGTGTTGTGTTGAACTTGTCCTTGACAAACACGGACTGCGAACGCGAGGCAGTGGTGGAGCGAGGTGTGGCCGTTGTGCTGGGAGGAGGTCTAAAAAAGGGAAAATATTGGATGAAATACACGGCGAATCACATATTTCTATAAATAAAGCTTTGATTACCTGTAATACAAGGATCCAGATTTAAGAGCTAGGAAAAAATTGAGTGTACTAGTTATAAAGAAAAAACACAGAAAGTATTGATAGAACAACAAAAGGTACACATTGTATATACAAAAAGAAAAACATATTTTTATTATTTTAATAAAGAAAGAATTTTTTTTTTTAAATTACAAACAATTTTAAATAATTTAAAATATAAATATTTTTAGTTCTTAGGTGTGGAAAAAAATTAGAAATCTCAAACTTTAAATAAAAAGGAAGAACTACTAGAAATGAAGTTTCAGCATAGGATTTTTTCAGCTATTGAGTTTATGTTTTTTTGTTTTCTGTAACCTAAGGTGAAAACTTAAGGTGAATAACAAGTCTTATGGTAAATAAATGTCTTTGTTCTAAGGCATATAGACTAAGAATGTCAGGACTAGTGATTAAAGGGCAATATATATTTAAACAATATTAAATAGCAAAATAAAGGGAGATAAAAATGGGGAAGTTGGAGATGTGAAATTTAGATGGCTAAAGCACAGAAATAATTCAAGACATTACACAATAGGTTAAGATTTTAAAAGTATTCCGTTTCTCTTACTTTTAATACATCCAATAACTGATTATTTTTTTTAATCCATAAAATTAAATGAAAAAGAATTTTTTTTAGAGTTCAATTCTCATTAAATAAAGAATAGATTAATGAAAGATATGTAAAAAAAAAAAAAAAGAAAGAAAGAAATCAAAACAAATTTAATACAAAAAAAATGTCAAAATTTAACAGTACCAGAAATAGTTTTTCAGTAAATATAAATGTTAAACAGCTCTGGAGTAATATGATAAATAAATATACAAGAATATACAACACAAACATAAAATGAAACTTTGGGTAAAATTGTTTTCATAAATTACTTGGCAAAATGTTATATTGTGTTTTTAAAAAGGGAACTAAAACATTGGTTGTTAAAATTCATAATATGTTAAATGTCAATGGTAGAGGCATGTTCAACTTGCTATAATAATAATTTTTAAATGTGCCTTACAATATCTTACAAAACAACATTAAAAAAACATTTAGAAAGGAGGGATGGCTGTTTTGAGAAGAGAACAAATTCATAAAATAATGAAGAAATGTAATAGTCAGTTCATAGAACTGTTTAGATGATATAATAATAGACTTGTAGTGATAGTAGAGTTATTCTTTCTTCCCTTTTATTATTTGTTCAGTTTTTAATAAAGCACCATCCATTTGTAAACGCAGTATCAGAAGAGTTCCTACAAATGGAGCTGGAGAAAGAGATGGAGCCTGACAAGTGTGTAATAAAAACATGGTTCAAGATTTGCCAGAATATGAAAGCTGTATTTACCAAATAGCTTATATCAAATGATTGCAAGTCTTAAATAAATACATCAGTAGCTATTGGCAACAAGGGCAGTAGGACTTCAGGACATGTATGCCTGAATATGCAAAGACATAATTTTTTCTCATACCGAATTTTCATGAAAAATGTCTTTCCACGACATGTGCTTAGTTTTATAAGAAAACTAAAGCAGTCTACACCACTAATGACAACCTTATGAGATCGAGACAACAATGACAACCCTAGGACACACAGACAACATGTAAACTACATGGACTTGAGTAGATAAACAACACTGCCCAATGGCATTAGAAAAAGCCCAGTCCAAAAAGCAATTAAAGAATTACCTCATTGTTTTATATTTTATCCGGCTGCAGATTAGCATCAATCAAATTCATTATCTGAACCTTAATTAATTAATAATCATGAACTTGGTGTGATTAGTTAAAAACCTGGTGAGTGAGTTGTCAGGGCTATTTCTAACATGGATATTTTCAATCAACAGGGACAAACATTCTCATTTCCTTAATTAATGATAACTCCAAGTGATAACAAGAAAGGATTTACCTGTTAACCCTACCACACTTGGGGCCCTAAACCTAACTGTCCCCCACACCTGGGCCCTGGACCTGTCCCCCATACCTGGGCCCTGAACCTAACTGTTCCCTATACCTGCGCTGCTATTATTTATTTATTTTAATAAATTAAAAGAAAAAAAAATGAAATTTACCCAGGATTGATTGATTTTGTTTCTGTTTGTTTTTACCCACTAGCCAAAGTAATGAACATTAAGTACAACTGTGTAGCCAGAGATTATTAAATTACAGAAAATTAAGTACAGCAGTCTGGTAAAGTTAAGATTTAAAAATTGATAATTAAAATTGCAAACAGTTTTGAATAGAAGTCACATGACAAACATAGGAAACTTTAGGTGAAGGAAAAAGCTTTATCTTGTTACTGCCCTCTACAATGTTTAACTTTAAAAAGACTTTTCTCATTTTTCCATTGTTTCTTTTGTGTTGGTCATGATAAGAGCCACAGAGCCACAATTAATGTGTTCTACATTTTAGTAATAAAATAGTAAAAAAAAACTGTTTTGCTTACATTTTTAATTTGGCAAATAGTTATTTTAAAAAAAAATTTTATAGTGATTTATTTCTATAATACAAAGATAGTTACAAAAAGTTGAAATATTAAACTTCACTGTTACAGAAACCTTTTATATAATGAAAAGTAAAGCGTAACTAGAAATCATGATTGAGAACTCACTCGTTGGAGATGTTGAGACTGTTGAGAGACAAATCACTCATCCGATTGGAGGACGAACTAGGGAGAGATTGGTTCCTCCGCAGTGTGCCATTCAGGAATCCTTTATCTGCCACCTGTACAAAGGAAAGGGTTTTTTTTTGTGAAACTTTCAAACATTTCTGAGAAGATTCTACTTTAAAATTATCTTAACTTCAATGAATAATACAAAGTAAAGAATAAATAAATGAAACAAAAATGTATGAAAGTTAAACATTGTGGCAACAATAAAACACTAGAAATTTTGTTCATGTTTGCAGCTAATAAAAACAGATTTTTTTTTTTAAATTAATTTTAATATTTTTATGATTATTGATTGTCTTGCCACTAAAAACATAGTTATACATTATCCAAAAGTACAAACATTTCTAAGCTTGATCAACAAGCACTTATTTAACAAACCAAATAATTCATTTTAAATCAACTGTGCCAATTTGAACAAAACTGAAAACATTCATACTGGAAGATGAAAAACTTAAAGTTTACAAGATTTTTTAAAAATTTATACAATTATTATTGTCACCATATGTTAGTGCTGACGCACAATGGTGGCTTTTCATACATTTGAAGTTAAAAAAAATTGGTAAGTATATTACAATATAAATGTCCTACCTTGATGCCATATTCTTTCTCTATCATATTGCACATTTGTGAGAAGCGATGCTCCATATGGGTGTGGAAGGGCTGCAATGATTCTGGGGCTTTATTTTTATGAACTATCAGACCGTCGCGCAAGATGGTGATCTGAAAATAAGGAACAGCTTTCATCTGCGATTTAGTGAAATTGTTGTCTAAAACTTACACTCAAATTTTTAGGTGACTTATTACGTTCTATAAAATGAAAAATTTTATAGCTTTCTAAATCTTGAAATTTGTAACAATTTTTTTTTTAATCGGGAAAAAGTATCAAATATTATTTTATAATTAAACTAGATAAGTAATTTTAAGCATTATTATAAGCAAGGTCTTTTAAAATGTGGACACGGTTGAACTTACTTGTTCTATTGTGACTTCTTTTAATCTTTCTTGAAACAAACTGTCATAATCCATGCTGATATAGAAATCCTGAAAGATATTAAAAAAATATGTTTATTATTTACAAGGACAAGCTATTCCTTAACCCTAACAATATTTAGTACTATGGGTCAATACCAACAGAAAATGTGTAGTTGTGTAAGAAATTCCTACCTTGTAGTTAAAATGCCCAAATAATTCCTACCTTGTAGTTAACAATGCCCCAATAATTCCTACCTTGTAGTTAGCAATGCCCCAATAATTCCTACCTTGTAGTTAGCAATGCCCCAACAAAACAAATTCCTACCTTGTAGTTAGCAATGCCCCAACAAAACAAATTCCTACCTTGTAGTTAGCAATGCCCCAATAATTCCTACCTTGTAGTTAGCAATGCCCCAACAAAACAAATTCCTAACTTGTAGTTAGCAATGCCCCAACAAAACAAATTCCTAACTTGTAGTTAGCAATGCCCCAACAAAACAAATTCCTACCTTGTAGTTGGCAATGCCCCAATAATTTTGACCTTGTAGTTAGCAATGCCCCAACAAAACAAATTCCTACCTTGTAGTTGGAAATGCCCCAATCATTCCTACCTTGTAGTTAGCAATGCCCCAACAAAACAAATTCCTACCTTGTAGTTAGCAATGCCCAACAAAACAAATTCCTACCTTGTAGTTGGCAATGCCCCATCAAAACAAATTCCTACCTTGCAGTTATCAATGCCCAATAATTCCTACCTTGTAGTTGGCAATGCCCCAACAAAACAAATTCCTACCTTATAGTTGGCAATGCCCCAACAATACAAATTCCTACCTTGTAGTTGGCAATGCCCCCACTAACAGCTGGGTCAACAACGCCATTGAGCTGCATGCCCAGTGTGTCGACTCTAAGACTGGAATCATTTTTGTGCTGCTCTATCAGTTCCGTCAACTTCTTGTTTTTCTCTTCCATTGTTTCAATGGCATTCTCTATAGGACTCACATCCATCTGTTGGGGGAAAAAAATCTATGAGTGCAATTTTCATATACACTAAAAGAATATAAATGCTCTTGTGTTAGATTAAGTCAAGAATTTCCTTCACTAAAATTAATATATGACTGTTGAAGCAGTACTTACAACTTCTATTTCTGTGACTGGATACCAGCCAACAATTCCAGGGAGAGAATATGAAGTTTTTAGAGTTGTCCTCTCCAGCCACATGTTCTACAGATAAATTAATGAAAATCTTATTCGGAGAACTATTTACATTTTTTTTAACATGTGTAACTATGTAAAAGTATTAAGACACTTTTTTTTCCTAATGTAAAACTAATTATTAACTACTGCATTAAATTTATTATTATATAAAATGCAGAGATATATATGCATTTAAGTGATATAAAATAGTATTTAAGAAAATGGACAACTGCATAGGCTTTCTTGCCAATCATTTTTAACACGAACAAAAATATTTCTAAATAAAACAGAATGTGCAGAAGGTTATGAGCAAACAATGTGTACCATGACATGACTAAAATGTTAAAGTTAGCATCAAAGGTACCATGTCATGGCTAAAATGTAAAAGTTAGGATCAAACAACGCATACCGTGACATCACTTGAACCCTCGTCTTTCCTCCTGGAGTAGGTAAAATGCTGCACCTCATTGACCCTGTAATACTTGAGGATTTGTTCACTAATTTCTCTCCCTTGAAAACATTCCTTTAAATTCATGACTGGGGTGACTGCATTAATTTGTAGGTCTACAGTCAGGTTAGGGAAGTCAAGTAATGCGGGAACTTATTTTAATATTGATAAATACACACGAATCAGAAGATATCTTGTAGTTTATTGAAAAACAAGTTAAATTAAAAATGAAGATGCAAAGATTTCAATATTGATTAACCAATTTAATTTTATAAAAAAAGAAATGCATAACAACATCACAAACTGTGCTTTAAAATATATATTGAAAAATATTGTAGTTACGCATATAATTAAATAAAGGATACATTGTTTAGCAGAAGTCATGATCTGTTCATCTGGAGTGTCCAATGTTTTCATCAGCTAAATGTTAAGAATAAATGCTTATTAAAGAGCGAGTAACGAAGCAGCTAAATGTAAAGATAAAGAAAGGAAAAAATTAGTTTTTTTTATTAAACAAAAGTCATAAAATTGAGTCTGACTAGGGAAAGTCACATTACCTCGGCATTAGGAAACAAGGTCTGCATTCTAGCATTGAAATCAGCAAGTCTTTCATATTCTTTGCCTCGATAGATAAACATTTTATTCTGAAATAGTTCAATAAAATCATTTTAATATGAGTAAGATCTATGTCAGATTTTGTCCTAAAATTGTTGCAGTTTTATTCTAGCTGTAATCAAATAACAAAACAATGCTTGGCTATGTTGGATATGACAGAGGTAAATATTACCTGAAGAAAGATAGGAAATCCCAGACCAAAATATCCAACACGAAAATATTCTGGTTCTGGCCGCATCTGTTTCATGATGCAGCTAAACAGTTTGGATTGTCTCTCCTGAAGAAACAACCAACACATGTCAATAAAACACAAAATGATGGATACAGTCTTTTCTAAACTAAAAAAGGTACAAAAAGCACTGGAATAACAGAAGCAAAGGTTTGTATTGTTTAATCAATGCAGACTGTGATCTTGTGGTCCAGTTTTAAAACCATTTTTTTTTTTAGTTATGTTGGTATACAAATGTTTCTGTACACAAAAAAAGCTGTTTCAACTTTAAAGCATCTGGTTAATAACACCAGTTAACACGAGTTGAAAGCTTAGCAATATAAACAGAAAATGATATTTCAACACTTGGCATTCTCCATGGGTTGGGATGTTACTTGACACCCCTCCCTGTATTAGATCCTGTATCTTTAAGGTAGGGAGTGGGGTGCAGGACAGAATGATGTTATGTGAATCAACAAACAAGTTACTTATAAAATCAGGAAAGAAAAACAAATGAAAAGAATACTGAAAAACATCACTACTTAGACAAAGAAACAAAAGAAAATAGTACTGACCAAAATATTTTTCAGACTGTTGTAATCAAACAGCTCAAACCTATAGAGGGTGCACAACTCATCACACAGTTCAATCCCCTTCTCCCACATCTAGCATGGGAAGAAAATTCAGATTTTAAGTTAACTTTAAGCACACTTGTAAGACTTATCAGGTTTTTTTTTATTAATGATTTCTGGTACAATAGCCCTAACTTTTAAACAAGAATTACCTTCCCCTGATCAAAGTAGGAAATGATGTCATAGTAAAGTTTTTCTTTCAATTCCCTGTTAGTTTTTGCATCAGGATATTTGCTGTTATTTTGTAGCATTGGCACCAAAGGCTCATCAGACCACTAAAAGTGTAAACACAATTTTTTATTCAAAAGAAATAACACCATGTAAAAACATGAAGAAGTTGTTCCAAAAAGTTTATTAAAAATACCAGTTAATTAGATGTGATTAAAGATAATTATAACAAGGCAACTTAGCTGTTAATTTTATGAAAGACCTACTTTGTTTGCTTATTACACTAATACAATAATAAAGGGGGAATGTATTTTTGTAATAGTGTTTGTCAACTGTAATTATGGTCCACTATTTACCTGTAGTGGCTTTTTGTATACAGTATAAAGGTATGTGTAGTTTGTGTAAAGTTGACAACTATAATTATGGTCCACTATTTACCTGCAGTAGCTTTGTATACAGTATAAGTGTATGTGCAGCCTCAGTAAAGTTATCACAGCCTAAATGAAGGTCACAGAGTTTGTGTAGATAGCGGATGTACATTTCTTGACGATTGATTTCATGGTAGAAATCCTGAAGAAAACAACATAATTAATCAATGCCTATTTAGGGGAGGTAAATGTTGAGAGGGAAGTGATTATTTTAAGGGAAGTGATTATTTTAAGGGAAGTGATTATTTATTCAAGAGAACAACACTGTGTAGTATATGAGCCAAGGTAGACAACCCACCAACAAATTGACTATACAACTCATTCTGTGCTCCTTGATCTCATCTTGTATGATGGTGCGGTACACCAGCAGCTTCTCCAGCAGGTTATGGATCACATCAACAAACTGGAGGCCAGACTCACGCATGACGTCATCGCCCTCACACAGGTGGCTTATGCTGAAACAGTTGGTTAGAAATCTGATCCAGGTATAAGAAAAATGTCACATCTTGCTAGTCTAGACAACACAACATCGTTTGCAAAACAATAAAATTTTACAACATTGCTTTCTAGAGAATTGTTATATTACATCAATACAAAATTCTTTACTAAACAATCAAACATTACAAATTTGTTTTGAGACAATCCCAATACAACACCACTTATTCTATTATAATATTACATCAGCCTAATTTAGCACTACAACATTCATTAAACACTCAAAGATTACAATTTTTCGTCTAGACAATCGCAAAATAACATTACTTCATCTAGTCAATACTACATTCTTTACTAGACAATCAAATATTTTAACATTTTTTCTAGACAACTTAAATATCAAAGATTTAAGACAATTCAAAATTCTATTTGGAGAAAATAAAAACCACAATCTTCTAATTAAGATAGTACAGTTAATATAACATGGAACTGGAGACAATGCAATCAGTGCAAGACAGGTGTTTGAACATTCTACTAGAAAGAATACAGACATGTGGTAAGAAAGTTTACTGTGCCAATACTAAAGCAGTCTACCACTTCACACAAAGTAAATAAAGCAAGACTTACGTCTCAGTGAACAGTGTCATGTACTGCTCATCTCCCCTTCCCCCTTCGATCAGAGTATCAAGTTTGGTGATCATCTCATTTTCAAACTGACAACATAAACATTTGGTTTTAACAACTGACGGCACACATTGCTTTTTTTTAAACTACCAAAAATATTTTTTTAACTAAGAAAAGGATTTAGATAAAAATAAAATTCTAAAATATTGTAGTCAGTAAGTTAAAACATGGAAAATTGTCTATGAAGTCATTAAATTCCATTTACTTCATGAAAATTGCCTACATAATAATAAAATTTCACTCACCTCATGAAAATTGCTTTGCATGTTTTTTGAATTGGGAATTGGTTGAACAAATTCATGATGCATCATATCATAAAAGATTGGAATTGTTGCTTTTCTCAACTCTGTGAACAAAAATCATTTAAGATCATGTATCTACACCTAATCAAATTGGTTTGATTAAAAAAAACTCAATTAAAACTAATTAGGTTCATTGGAGATTCTTACCTTGCTCTGGGATGAGGGTCATCTCAAGAATGGGGCCAACCAATTGAGGTATAAACTTGATTTTATTTGGTCCTGGAAGTATGTTAAATATCAATTATCCTAACTCAAAATATTTTGGTAACACTAGCAATTTAAAGTATTTATTTTTTTGTTCCAAAATGTATTAGTAAATTAAATTATAAAGATTATGAAAAGGTAATTACCCAATTTGAACCACATGGCTCTTATTTCAAATCCAGTTTCTCTTCTCATATCTTTGTATCTAAAAAAAAATTCCATTGGATTAGCTTACAAAAATAAGAAGCATCATACATACCAGTATGCATACATGAGAACAGCTAAGCTGACAAGAAGTAAATATGAATGAGTTGCAACCACCGCATCCTACAATTGCTACCAATATGAATGAGTAGCAACCAAAAAGACTTACCTGGTGATGATTTTATTTCTTTTGGACATAGAAAAATTTTCCAACTGTAGGCTGTCTTGTGTGAGGAATGCAATGGCACAATGGAAAAAGTTATTCCACAGCTGAGGAATTAAGTTTTCATAATTTCTCAGTTAACATCAGAAATATTTTCGTTATCTATATATTGATTGATTTGAAATGATGGGCAAACTAAATAACAGCCCAAAAATTTCCAGAAAAAAAAAAAATTTGCGTTTAGAAATTAAGATTATAACATCAGCGTCTTATTTACCTGCTGTTCAAAAGGTGCAGAAAAAAATTCATGAATAGTGGCAGCAAAAAACCTCAAGGCTCTCAGGATAACACTGAAATATGTCGCAACAAAATACATTGTAAACAGCACTTATAAAAAGAACTTTTTAAAACTTGAATACATCAAGAAGTGTATAGAACAGAATAAGCGACAAGTTTCATCTACTTTCACACCAAAGATTAAAGTAAATAAAAAGTGTGGCCAACAGTTTTGGACCTAGAATGAAAGTAAAAAGTGTGTGTCTACCAGTTTTGGACCTAGAATGTAAGTAAAGTGTGTCTACCAGATTTGGACCAAGAATGTAAGTAAAGTGTGTCTACCAGATTTGGACCAAGAATGTAAGTAAAGTGTGTCTACCAGATTTGGACCAAGAATGTAAGTAAAGTGTGTGCCTACCAGTTTTGGACCATGATCATCTCCAGCCAGTCTGTAGGGTAGACATTCCTGTGCACCAGGTCTTGGAAGACGCAGAGAATCTCCATGAGGAAGTCCATCAGGTCGAAGTGTGTAGGGAAACTTTTGATGTAAGTTTTGTAGTGATTGTCTGACATCTGCCGCAGCAGGCTGATCATCACGCACACACAGTTGCCCTTAAGGTCAGAGTTCACAGTGTCAAGGTATTTATCTATATAACTTAATACAGCATCTCTAATTCATCACTCACATTACAATACACATTTCTAATTCATCACTCACATTACAATACACATTTCTAATTCATCACTCACATTACAATACACATTTCTAATTCATCACTCACATTACAATACACATTTCTAATTCATCACTCACATTACAATACACATTTCTAATTCATCACTCACATTACAATACACATTTCTAATTCATCACTCACATTACAATACACATTTCTAATTCATCACTCACATTACAATACACATTTCTAATTCTTCACTCTTGTTACTGATAATGGAGAAAATATTTCTGAAATATTCACCACATTTTAATTTCTTCTTACATTGCATCTAGCAATAAAAAATATAATTCATCCTGATGTTAGAAAAACCACAAGCATTATGTCTGAGAATCACACGATACAAGATTCACTTTGTTATTGTTCTAATACTTGTTACTCTACAGTTTATTGAAGGCATTTTTCAAAGCACACAATCCCCAAATACATTTGTGTTATGCAGGATGTTTTAAAAAATGATGCATGAAACCATACAAATGCCTGCACCCAATGAGAATAAAAAGGCACACAACTCCAAGATAAAATACTGAGCTAAGACCCACACATCACCAACAAAAAGCATGCAGAACTGAGATTTACAGGAGAACTATGTAACATCTAATGGCATGGGGAATTAAGACACGTAAATCATGCAAATCTCAATCACGTTAATTTTTTTAAAACGGAGAATATTTCCACACATCAAAAATAACAGGGCAAGGAGAAGATAACTCATGCAAATAATGACTATGTCTGCCATTAAAAATGACAATTTTAACTTGCTTTTCTTAAAATCTTTAACAGTGTAGGAGCATGTAGTCAGTGTAATAGTGAGAATTATTTTTTTTAAATTTATTCCTAAAGTGTTTACTATGGGTTGAAAATTGTCTGAATATCCATACTTACATTTAATGTTTCAAATGAAACAGAAACACTTGGTGGGGGTTCATGGCCAAAGAATTGCTGCAAGACCAAGGCACAATATAGCACCAATGCCACATATGTTACAAACAATGTTGCATGCAGCTTTTACATGTATCACTTTTGGTTTGAACTAGGCTTATTTGTTTCATGTTCACCCATCCTAACTTAAATATCAGATACTTGTTTTTTTAACAAAGACTTTCTACATATTATTTTAAGTTGTGGTATAGTACTTGTATTGTATGGTTCATTATCTTATATGAATTATCTACATACACAAAAATTGTGATTAAAAAGGGGTCTAATTAAGGGGATATGCGCGGAAAAAAATCACAAAATTTCTTGTTTTTCATCATGATGGGTTTCTTGCGCTTTTGGATACTTTGTCCATTTTTGTATAAAGAAAATAATAACTTTAAAGAGAAAAAAATATTTTAAGTGTTTGAATTACGATTTTTATGACCCTATTAATTAAAAAATAATAATTTTTTCCCAATCTTACAAGCTCTCTATGAAAAGTTTTATATCCATCATTATATTGTATTCGATATCATTGGAAAGCTGGATTTCTCATGTATCTAATAAACTTAATTTTCTACATCTCGAAAACACACAAAGCTTACAATCGGCTTTGCAGTTTACACAGATATGGTACTTTCCTGACCTAGTTTTCGTTACTTTTGGCTGTTTTTCTCAGTTCGCAGGTTTTTAACACTAAAAAGCCTACTACTTTTTTATTTATCAAACAATCGCCACCATATTTTCAGTAAATGTTCTTGATGCAAAAATACAACTTTTGTCACGAGGGCATTGTGATTGCTGTCATAGAAAAAAAGATTTTGGTAATTAATATGCACATTTTGAAACTTTTGAATACTAAAAAGGGTACGATTTTTTAGACCTTGTAAAATTCTCACTAGTAATTATTTTAAAAAGTTGTCGTGACAAAAGTTTTAATATATACTGAAATATAAGCAGTTTAAATTTGATTGCTATAGGTGCATAAATAAAAAAGCCTTAGTATTTTTAAAAGTACCAAAAAATTCAAAATGGCGGAGGTTTTTTGGGTTTCCATGACAACCAAAATTGTTTTCGACCCTATTTTTTGCTATGTAATACTTACTTTTATATGCCAAATATGATAAAAGTGTTCAAAAGGCTTTAGATCTTAAACTGTAAAAAATAGAAAAAAACATAGCATATCCCCTTAAGTGTAGAAACAGATAACCGGTAAAGGCATAGGAAATATATTTTTTAACTTTTAAAGAGTTAAAGATACTTTGTTTTAACAAAAATTATTATATTTAACACATCAAAGGGTGTTTGTAGTATTAAATATGGTGATGGATTTTCAAATGACTAGCTTTTAGTGTTATGAAAAGAAATAAAGAAATGTCTAATTTAACCTGCTAATAAAAAATATTTTGTTGATAAAATATTACATTGGTTATTTTCTAGAAATGTTTCTAAATTATTAATTGATATTGTCTAGACATTAGTATATGTAACTTAAGTTCTGTGGATGGGTGAACTTAGAAATTAAGCTTGGATTTCCAAAAGCAAAATTTAGTACTATTTGATTTACATTTTCAAATTGCAACTAATCTAATAGTTATGGTACAACTAACATTATTATGGGGATTCATTATGTAATCAGCAGAAACCGTTTATGTAAATTGCTCCTTACAATCGAATAAACTACTGGGTGTGCAGAAGCAAAATACATCTAAAGCAATAATCTTAACAATTAGAATCATCAAGTAACTGAAAATGTATAAGACATGTTTTATTGCATTTTATGGGCTTTAATTTAAGGAGAATAATTGCCTTTAAATGGTATTTTTTTAAAAAGAATGGTAGTATTTAAAAGAAGTAGATTTAAAAATAATAATTTAAAAAATTAAAAGTTCAATAGTCAGTTAAATATATTAACAAGTCTCTATTCTTCTAAAATGTAAATTTTGAGACAACAAATGATTTACAACAAAAAAAAATGAATAAGAGGTTAATTTAAAAGTTAAACAAGAAATCATGCAAAATCAAAGCTATTAGAGAAAACATCCATTTAACATCATGATCTGATCTATCAATGTGCTCTAAAGCTCTGCAGTGAATATCTATAAGTATTGTGAACAACTTGTAATCGAGTGTGGAAAGCTATATTTAAAGCAGCAAATGTAAAAACTGAGAACAAAATATCAAAGATTTTTTTTCTAAGCTGTTGACTTGAACTTAATTATGTTTTCTAACTTGTAAAAAAAAAAAAAAATTCATTTAAAATAAAGACTGCACAAGCTTGAGAAATATAAAAACATTTTTTAAATATCATGTTTTTAATTTTTTAGTTATTTTAGTGGGTGGACTATAAAGCAATTAAGAAGAAAGAAGACTTGATCCTATTAAGGAACTTTTACTTAAAAATGAATTTTTCTGTAATTAATGTTCACAAGAGAGTGACTTTCTCCTGTTAAATTTACATGTGAGTGACTTTCTCCTGTCAATTAATTTTACATGGGAGTGGACTTTCTCCTGTTGATTAGTTTTAAATGGGAGTGGACTTTCTCCATTTATATAAGCAGCACAGGGGTAATGCGCACATAGAATGACCACAAATGTTTCCTTAAACAGTTATTTTAAGAGCTATGACCCAAATAAAATGTAGCTTACAGCAACACCTGCATGCTCAAAATTCAACAGCATTACATTACAAAAAATATATCAAGATGCCTTGAACTCTTGCATGCAGTCTTCAAATTGTTTTGCGGAAATTGAAGTCAACATTAGATTTTTGAAGATAGGTGTTAAAAAAAACATTCGGAAACACATGCTTCATTGTTACACAAGAACCCATGAAATGAGGTAAAACATTCAACAAACAAGTCAACTGTGGAAAGCCAAGAAGTTCAGCTGGAAGCATTGACAACACAACTTGACATTCAGTTTTGATAAATTCACAGATTAAGAATTGTTTCTTTAAAACACTATTACAACTTTTAAATTTCAGTTTTATTTCTGTTTGAAGTCCTCAAAACTTTTAGTTTTGAAAGCTTTTGGGTATAAATTATGCCAAGATAAAAATATTTTGACTAAGAAAATTATCAGGTCCCTAATCTTACAGCTAACTGCTTGCATTATAAATAGTAAATATTGTTACAGTTTATTAGATAGATTATACATGGGTGAAACCAATAACTACCATGAAACAAAAAGTGAATATTGAGAGTTATTTCCCCTAAGAAAGCAACTCTGACAATGCAACAAAAGTTGAAATAATGCATGTAAATTTAAATGTATAATGCCAGTGCTGCATGGCCTTTGTTTTACCTCCAATCTACGGCTTTTGGTTTTGATGGTTTGCTGTCAATGGTAAATCAGGACATTGGTCAGAAAAAATGGTATACCTCAAACCGAATTTTGAAAAAACGTTAAAAATTGTTTGGCTAGAAAATAGCATAGTTGAGACCTGATATATTACAAACATATCTGATAATTTCTTCACACATAAATCACCATCAAACTCTGCTTACAAATTATATGACAAAATGGTTTTAACATTTTTTTCACATAAAATATAGATGTAAAAATTTTAAAAATACTATTAAGGTCTACAATAAGAGTTGACTACAAAGAGAATAACCTTACACAAGAAAAAAAAACTATTTAAAGGTGGGAGTATTAAAAATGAAATTTAAAAAAAAAGCAAGGAAATAATACAGTCATTGGCTGCAATATTTTCTCTGTTAAAAATAATAATTTAAAAAGTTTTTTTCTAGCAACAAGAAATTAAAAAAAACAATCCACTCACTGTTTGTTTGGAAGATTGATCCATTCCTATAACAGACTGTATAACAGTGCGGAGAATCTTGTCAATGAGTATTGTGGTGTCCTGATCTCTTGAAGCCTGTACAAAATTTCACCCAAAAGACAATTTACACAAATTGTAAGAAACTCATGCTTTACACTACACAAAACAACTAGTAGTCAACTATGTAATGAATTTTGACCTCATAGGTCCAAAGTCTGTCCATGATGTGGCTGAGTATAGATATGCATTCTTCCATCTCCTCATTGTGTTCCATCAGGAAATGGGTGTGTTGCAAAAATGGGGGCAGCAGCACCTGTCTGCAGGCTAGGATGATAGAAACATTGCACTATAACAGTTCATATAAACAGATTTTTGGAAATAATTGATACAACAATAAATATAGAAGACAAACTTTTTAAAAATTGAAAAGAATAAAGTTTTCAAGTAATTGTGGTAGTTAAACAATTTGATAAGGTTTTTATATAATAAAAGTAATGCTGCAGTAGAGTGAATTACAAAGTTTTTTTAAATATAAATTTTTTTTTTCCAAACCAGGTAATTTATAGAGGCAAATTAATTAAGTTTTGTTAACTTTTAATTCTCCAACTTTTGTCAGGTACCAAACGGAGCTGGGTGAGCTCAATGACACACATGCAGAAATAAACCTGTGATTCTCATGACAGCAATCAAGCACTTGACCTTTTAACCTAGGGGGTCAAGTCTATTTCACTAGTCCCAGCTCCTGGTCCTAAACTAATCATTAGCCTCAGATCCAAACAGTTCTCAAGGTAGGCAGCCAGCCATTGATCTTGCCTCATGATTCTTATCTATACTGTGATCACTTCAACAGATTAACTCTATTCATGTGCCCTACAAACTATAAGTTTATTGCTAATGAAAGGTTTTATTGTTTATGAAGTTAGGGCTAAGGAACCTACCAGGTAAGTTGAACAGATCTGTTTGTATGATCTGATCAATGCATTTCATCTTTTGTTTTGTCAGCCTTTCAGGGGGTACATTGTCAATAAACTGGACTAGAAGAAGGCTAAACAGAATGAAGGTTTACATTATAACAAAATATAACCACAATTTAATATCCATAGAAATTTGGTACTATCGTTTAAATACAGTTATAAAAATAAACATTAGTTGCTATTCTATGACCAGTAAGTATTTTCGTTATGATAAAACAAATTTAGAAATGTACTTGCAAATATTTAAAATTATAATAATTAATATAGTTAATATATTAAAAATCAAAGTTTTCAATGTTTGAGTACCATAACCAAGGTTGTTCTACTTCTTGACATACCTAAGTTCAATTGGGTCAAAGATGGTCATGACATCCCCAATAATAGAGCTGATGTATTTTAAAGCTGCTCCCTAAATAACATTGAATAAAAACAAATTTAAACATTTTCTCAAAAATTATTTTACAATTTCTTTATAACAAAAAAATATTTCATGGAAAGTAACAAAAAACAATGTAAATTAATCTAGTTACCTCTAAGTGACCAAAAAGTAACCTGTAAACAAAGAGTTACCTAAAAAAAGATTCACAGAGAGTGACCAGTAAATCACTCAACAATACCTGAACTAAGAGGGTGTTGTCTGACTTGTACACCATCATATTGTTGATTGCTGTAATAAGCTGCTTCAAGGAGATTTCAAACTGCTGCTTACCTCGACCTTCATTGAGCCTGTGTTTATAAACAAGTAATTCATAGAGGTTAGATTAATCATTTTGTTTGACTGAAGATCTAAAAATATCTATTTTAAAGTGTTAACAACTTTTTTTGGAAAGTTATCAGAAGATTTATGAATTTAAAAAAGATATATTAAATAACTTACATAGAAAACAAATGTCTGGACTTGATTATAAACTTGAAGATATATTCTAAAGATTTGATAGCAGGCAACAAAGAGTTTTCACTAGAACTTTTTTCATTGGCCTTGTCCACATAATCTTTTAAGATCACCATCAGTTTACTAGAAAGTGAATAAATGACGACAGTTTTTAAAAATTATTAAAAATGCAGTTAGGACTGCAACCCTCCCTTACCCAAGAACATTGTTTATTACATACTTGTATGCCATAGCAAAGCTGAAAGCTGAATCAATATAAGCATCCAGTACAGGGCGGAACTGGTGATATTTCCTGTCTGATATTAACACAATGATGTACACCTGGAAAAAAATGAGATAATAAATATTCATTTTAAGCAAAAATGTTCATTGTATTATTAAAATATTATTAAGTAATTGAAATACATTCATTGAGGAAATAGTTCATTTTTTAACTTATTTTAAAATTTTCCTGAAAATAAAACCTGCAGTTGAAAGATGTTAAAGAGTTTAATTTTCTGATACTAATATCAAATGTATTAAAAATATATTTCACCTGCTATGAAACAAATGTAATTCCAAAGAATAAATTTTGAATCTCATCCCATTTTTTGTATATACATTTTTTGTAAAAGACATTTAAATAAAATTGAGTTGGTAAATATTTTTTTCACTTACAACTGGAGATAGTTTTACAAAAAATAAATACAAACAATTACTAGACCTAAATTTATGTTTAGTTATCTTTGATAGTTTCAGGTAGATTTTAAGCCATATTTGTGTGCATATATTTTCTTTATAATCATATTATAATTTGATCAATACAGATTACTTAGTAAACTCAATAGAACAGAACTGACCAGGGCATCAAACACCAGGTTGTCACACAACTCACTGTTTGTGTGCTGCATCAAAATGTTGAAAAGTGAGTCCAGCAAATCTTGTAAAAACTGAAATTTTTTAAAGAATTCTCTCAACAGTTTGAACATGATAGACAGAAATGAAAAAAATAAAAGTTCAAGGATAGGGGAGATCACTCCCAATGTTTGCACTAACAGGTGGATGGTTGTATATTACACAGCTGTAAATGCTCAATTTACTATCAAGAAGCAAAAAATGTCATGCTCAACAAGAGGTGCCAGCCATGTATTCTAGAATAGCATGGCTAATTTCACAATTAAACTGCAAGCAGTAAAAAGAACACAACACAAGCAGTTAAACACAGCACCAAGTATTTCTTATTGATAAACATTGTACATACTTTCACAATTTCTTCTCCCTCTTCATTCATGAGATGTTCCAGGTAGGTTTTCAAAGCTTTAGTATCACTGAGTACTTCATGCCACTTCAACAAACCAAGAAGATCAACTGTAACACAATGAACTCAATATTAGTGAAATCGGAAATACAATAAAAGTAGATCAACTGTAAAACAATGTACTCAATATTAGTGAAATGGTAAATAAAATCATTATAAGTGTATCAACTGTAACACAATGAACTCTATATTAATGAAATGGGAAATACATTTATAAATGTAGATCATATGTAATACAATGAACTCAACATCAATGAAATAGTAAATACAATCATTATAAGTATATCAGCTATAACACAACAATGCAACATTAGTGAAATAGTGAATACAATCATTAAAGGAGACCCCTAAAACATACATTTACCAATGTGCTTACAGTCTGCATTTATTTAAAATAGCAACACTGACATAAGGTGTTATTCCAACCCCAAAGATAGACACATGTACACAATATAGCCTTTTGTTAAGACAGAACTGTTCTAGCCATTGTAATAACACATTGTGTCAATATTGCTGTTTCAGTAAAAAAGCCTGCTTCCAACCCTTCTACACACTAATTTAACTTTTTAAAGTATATTGCTATATTTTATTTTTAAAACTAACTGTTTAAACAATTTAACTATGCAGAATCGGCATAGAAAAATGATGATGAACCTTACCATTATGTGTGAGTTTAGTTGAGCAGACATAAGAATAGACAAAGAAGGAGTCTCTGTGACTGAGAACTAATCCTGCAGATTGCTTGTGATTGGAAGCATAGTTTGAGGCTTCAAGTTCCCTCTTGCTACATGGTAACTTCAAGTAAATCGCTGCATCTTCATGTTTTTTGTTCTCAATCTGTCAACACATTTACAGGAGAATCTTTTTTTAAATATATATTATGTGATTGGTATGAATGTAATTGTTAGTTCCAATACTAGATCTTTAATGTTTTGGTGAGTCATTCTTTTCTTTTTAAATATTGAACAAAACTTGAAATTTCATACAATAAGTAAATAACTTGATGTGAAATATAATAAAATGAGTTGTAAAATAAGTAATATAAATGTAACAAACCTTGTAAACTAGAAGTTCATGTATTTGATCTTCTATGGTTGTTCCATTATCATTTAGGAGGCGCACAAAAGACATTGCAAAGGGTCTCTCTGATCGATCTTTGGCTATTATAAGAGATAATAAGTATAGTTTATCACCATCCGACAGAAGCATTACAGTTGTACTTAAGCTAACCTTACTGTGTCTCTTAAAAGATTATCCTAACCCCACTTTTTCCCATTAATAACATTTAGACACATGCACCTTTTAACTTTCAGCTCAGCCTAAAACTCTACTAAAAATGTTACATCCTGCAGTTGTGCTTTAAAAATTATTCCACTATATTGTGATGAATTTTATTAATCCTAACATAATTTTTCAGTGTATTTTACATAATACCTTCAGTTGAAGATTTATGCCGAAACAGAAATTTTAAATGTAGTCCTTTGAACTCAACCTCTGTTGAAATGGCCACCTATTTTTAAAAAAAATTAACTTATTGAATGTAAGACTGCAAAATACAAAATATATACTTTACTTCTGCAATGTGAAAAAAATTAATAATTCATTTCTATTATAATTAATTTTGCAGCATATAAAATGTCTACCTTACCTTAACAGTTTCAAACCATTTGGGCTTATCTTGATGATAATAAACCATAGATTTGAATTCTGACATTGAGGAATCTATACATCCATAGCTAATCACATTCTAAGAAAGATAAAATTACAACATTAAAATCCTAATAACAGTTACACTAATGAATCTATAAACCTATCTTTATCAACATTTTAAGAAAGATTAAACACCAATTTTCTAAGCAAGATTACATCATACCAGACTAAGTAAAAAAAAAATGGCTACACATAGATCTCTCACCTGCATGACTTCTCCTTTGCCATCACATACAACCATTGAAACCTCAACATTTTTGTCTGTTGACTTGGTGGGTCCCTTTGTAAACTCTCCCTGCTGCACAGTTAAGTATATATCATTGCGAACATCACCTTTAAAATAGAAAACAACACTGAGAAAATAGGCATTAAAATCACAAGTGCAATAAATGTCAAAACTAAATATTTAGTCAATCAATAGAAATTAATCTTCCACATTCATTCAAGTTAAAATCTCATTTAGTATTCACACTGCAAGCTCTTAACATTCTTGGTTTGAATATGATGTTTTTATCATTTAATCTAATTATGAGAAACAAAGTGAGGAATAAAGCATGATACAATAAATAAAGGTAATAAACCTTTCCACTATCTGATTTCAAATTGGTACTAAGTATTATTTAATTAACAATGTAGGGTACAGTTAATATCCTATTAAATATTTTTAATATTGCCATATAAAGCTGGAAATCGGAACTGTACTAAATCTAGCTTTGATTTCTTTGTTCACAGAGCATAGCAATTTGTCTAATGAGCTAAAATTTTAAGGGCCTAATACTTTCTGTACATATTGAAAGTTGCATAATAATTGAGCATATTTTTCTTACATTTAATCCTGCTTTAGACATAGTTTTCAAGAAATAAAAACATAACTAAAACACCCCTTATTCAAAATTCAGTATGTTTGTATGAGTTCAGTAATAAGATGTGAAATGGAAAAGCTTACAGTCATACTAGCAATCAATATAACATTTGAGGGTGTTTGTATAGTTCACTTGTGTTCTCAAAAGTTAAACATGATGCAATGTATAAAACCTGTTTTATTTTAAATAGCGACAAAAAATACTTTTTTTAAAAAAGCAATTCATAAAGATTGCAAATCAATTTTTGATAAAGCAATCAGGCACACACAAAAAACTGTTGTTTTTTTTAAAGCTGGTAAAACAAGTTTATGGCATACATGTTGGTTTTTTCTCTACATTAACATAAAGAAATCACATGTAAAGCTTAATAAAACAGTTATATTTTCAGTGTGAGTACAGTGATGTAAGTCATCAATCTTGGAAAAAGATAAATCTGCAGAACATAGACATTTAAAAAAGAAAAAAAAAATATGCATAAAATAAATGTGTAGAATGATTAAATGCAACATCCAAGCATAAATTCTATATTTTAAAAATATTAAACATCAAACAATCTCATGATGTGCAGTAAAACCAAAACTCTATGTGATGATCTTTTGTTCTAAAAACAATATTTTTAAAAATCAATTTCCTAAGTTTGAAACCAGAACAAATTTGGTTGTAAAAAAATTCAACATGAAAAGCAATATTTAAAGCAATGTAAAACAAATGTTAACTGCCCAAATTTTCTTTTTTTTTAACCTTACCCTCTTCTATGCCTATGATATTAATTAGGAAGAAACAAAATCTATATTAATTATAAATTGAAGTTTAATTTAAAAAATCAAAGTTCCTCCATTTTTAGACCAATTATGGTTAATACAAAAATAAACTGAGGCTATCAAACTTTTATATATAATAAACCAAAACTAACTATTGCATAAAGCTTGATTTTTTCCCATTTTTTTTTAGTATTTCTAAACTCAATACATTGTTATGTAGAATACTAACTGGTACATAGGTTCTTAACTGTTATTTCATGCAAGAGTAGTAAAGTTTTTACTACATTACTCTATTTGAATAAAAATAATCAAAAGATGATTTTTTTAAATATTATATTTGGTTAAACCTATAAATAAGCCTACAGACCTGGCATAATGACATCGGGGAATCCCATTTTTCTAGCAATTGCTGTTCCAGGAAGTACAAGGTGAGGATAAGATTCTCTCACCTATAAAAAAAAAAGTTTAACATGTTTAAAAATATATACCTCAATTAACAAAATATCAGATGGGGCAGCGTGGTCAGACGGTAGAGCGGATCGACTCTTAATTCCAAAGTCTTGAGTTTGAATCCTGGGCTTGAGTCCGCAGGACATCCCTGAGTCCATCCTGCTCTAGTAAGTACCTGACTTATGCTAAGGTCTCACAAACTAGTAAACTCTAATTCATCATTCATGGACTGCCAGGGAATTGTTTTAACAAAATATCAACCAAAATTAATTTTTTAAGCTAATGCACAGTGCAATAATACTAAAAGCATGAACAATTAACATAGAAAAAAAACTGAGTTAGACATGAGAAGTACAAAGTGACTTACTTGCTTTATATCTCCTGGTAATACTTTTAAAGATACCCAGAGACCTTGACCTCTATGGTTTATGTCTTTTGCTGATATTACTTTTTTAATTACATTGTACATGAAATCCTCATTACAACTGAAATACATTTTTAGTGTTGTATATTTATTAAAATGGACTGCATACAATTTTGAATGGTAATATAAAGGAAGTGAAAGAATTTATCAGATTGTAAATTTATAATCACGAATGTTATACTGTGTAGAAATTGAACAAGCATGAAACTTACTGCTGAAAGGGTATAAAATACTGATTATCCTCTACGCTTGTTTTAGTTCCTTGCATAAAATCTGTTATGTCCATCACTAGTTAAAATTAAAAAATAAGGGTAACAGTTTATTTTTATATAATTGATTTGGCTGCAATGAGTTACTTTAACATACAGTAAATAATTAATAGAACTAAACTAACCTCCAGCACCAAATGGTCTTCTGATTCCCTGTGTTTGTTTCTTGTTGTCCACATATTTAGGGTCCATAACACCTGCAGATAAAAAATACATAAAAATTTCTGTTCAATAATATAACCCAGGGCCATTATTAAAAACACCCAGTAAAATAGAGGGTTTAGATTAAAAAGAACTGATACTGAGTTTCTTAAAAAAAAAATAACAGAAAAATGTTTACCTATTCTAACGATTTGGAAGACTAAGTACACCTTGTCTCTTACTTTGTCTTTGTTTCCAAGATCCTAATGTAAATATTAATTTATTCCATCATATTTTACAAGAAAATAAATCTCAGATTAAGTAAATTTATTTCTTGAACACATTTCTTTATTTTTTTAAAAATAGGATAAATGGAAAAAAACTCTTTCATGCATGAGTAAAAAAAAAATAACTAAAACTATTACAATCTAATTTTAGGGTACTTACAGTAAAAACAACTCTGAAATTATTTATCATATCAATATCTTTGGGTACACCTTGCTTACTCCACTTAACCAAATAATTCTCACTGTGAAGAAAATCCTTGAATTTAGATCCAATGAAAGTATTTTCTTTTTTTATAAGAGCTATATTTATAAAAAGATAGGATTATTGTGTCTCAACATTGAGATGCATTTTTATCTTTACATATGTATATTGGTTTTGCCTGAATAGGGATCAGAACCCTGTGAATTTTAGTAGCGGGACTATCTTCATGCATATCTAGATCTAATACCAACAATAGGTTGTGAACAAAATTCAAGACAATAGAAATTCATAATAAAAAAAAAGCTTCAGAATAAATACTCAAATAATAATATTATTTCTAAAAAGATGTATTATAGCAATAAAGGTAGATATAAAAATCATAATAAAATATCAAACAGCTTAGTAAATTATGCCACAAGCTTTTCTTAAATAAAGGAGACATACCTTATAAACTTTTCTTCTTTAGCATCAAACAGATTTATCATAATGTCGGAATCCTCTCCTATCTTACACACAAAATTTCTTAACATAACATAAACATTGAACGATGATGGCCAGTTTGGACGAGTTTCTAAATCACTGTATCTTTTATTACACTGGGAAAAAAATCAGCCATATTTGAAAACAGTTGCTTTTAACTTTAAACACTATAAAACAAATAGCTGCTAATTCCTGGTAACAACATAATACTAATTATCAGGTAAAAAATGAAATTATCAACAATAACTTACTGTTTCTTTCTGTATTCTATCTGCTGCCTCTACATGCTGTGCAGATGAAAGGGAAAAAAAGTTTAATCATCATTAACTAGATGTAATCAATTATTTCAACATACTGAATAATCTTTTGTTTTATAAAATTCAACAGAAGACTCATTAGTAATACAAAGTAAGTAAAAATTTGTTCCGTACTCTTTTATACAACTCTATAATGCTACTTTGATCTGGGTTGAGTATGTTGCCTTGGTCATCTCTAACTACAAGGTCCAGTTTGAGTAAAGCATTGCCCTGGTCAATACGAGAAGTCACTTTTTGCTGGACTTCTTTTAACTCATCCTGAAACCAGTTGGTCAGACAATAAAGGGATTAAACGTTTAAAGCAATTTTATTATTTTAAATTGTGTTTGTTGAACATTATTCCAGTATCATCACATTTATTTAATAGTATTAATCCACTCTCTACTCCACAGTTAATTCCAACTTTAATTAACATATAGCATAAATTACTGAAAAAAGTATTAACAATACATACCAACAATTTTATGGATTGAACTAGTGAAAAAATCACAACAGTTAATCTATGACATAAACTAATAAAACTACTGACCACTGTGAAAATTCTTGCCAGGATCTTATTTCTCCAGTCTATTAAGTCACCTATCATTTCTTGAACCTCATCTAGCTGTTCACTGCGTTCCTGAAGATATAGTTTGTTTTTAAAGCGAACATTAATTTTAAAAGTTATGAAAAGCTAGGTAAATCTATATTATTAAAAAACATTGAACAAAAATAAATAAAGGTCAAAAACATAATCAAGCATACAACTGTTCTCTAAAAATCAAACACATAACCTTTTTTTTAAAATAAATTCTCACCACAAACATTTGTTTCCAGATTGCATGCCATTCCCTAAGGACATTTGTCAACTCAATCACCAGAGGGGGCTCTTTGCTAGTTATAGTTTCATTGGGCCTGGGTTACAAAAAAAAAAGGCTTTAATAAATTAGAATCTGAAGAGTTTAAAGATTGATGCCTCACAACATAAACATCCCCATGGTGTAATGCAGGAGTTAACTTACCCACTGACATGCACTGATGCCTCTTTTAAAAATATGTAATTTTTTGGAAAAATTCCTTTCTTGGATTTATTTTTAACCACAAAACCTCTATACCAATCTGGAAATAGATTTGAATTTTGTTTTAACATATGAGTGATGAAGACACAGATAGGTGGCAATGATAAATGTAGATAATGACATGATGAAATGAATAATTAATGTTTACAATGACAAGCTATTTTTAACATTATAATTTAAACTTATGTAAATGGAGACAGGAAGAAATTAGATGTATCCAGCCTTTTTAAATTGAACTTTTGCTGTTAAATTAAAGAAGATAAGGAATCCTCGTACCATCTGTTTCTTCCAGAATGTGGACAGTGTCACCAATGTCAAGGGCAAGTCTGTGTTCACCATCTTCCTTGTAGTTGTAAATGGCTGAAAGATCAAAAGTAAAGGAAATAGAATCATCCTTTTATCACTTACAATAATAACTCTAAAGAAAATAAATCAAATGCCAACTTTCTGATTGTGTGGAAAATTTTACTATAAAAAGTTCAGACTATTTTAGTATAGATCTATATATCAAAAAAGTTATTAAAGGAAAATGAATTGTTAAACAGTAGAAAATGAATCAAAACTATGTGTCTATGACATCTCCTGCCTTCCTATAGTCAATCACAGGTTATTAATTAGGATATTAAATTAAAAACATTACAAGTAGGCCTACTACTTTTCTTAAAATGTGTTCATCAAAAGAATTTAAAATTTAGAATGACATTCTAAACTCCATTGGAAGAAGGCATTGTTAATGAAATAGCAGAGGGATATTACAACACAAAGGGGTATGTCTTTACTCGAACTAGATTATGTACCTATGTATACCTTTGGTTTTGAAATTACTGTCTGTTTACATTGTTATTTCAAAATCCAGTGTCAATTAGAAGTCACAAGTTATAGTCAAAATTCTTATTCTTTATTGTCAATCTCCAACACAATTTGCAACAACAAAATAGACAATACAATGTACTAGAAAAGTATGACATTGGAATATTTTGAAGCACATTTGATTTTAATTTAAATGGCTGTAAAGTTGTTTCATGAAAATAAACTCTACAACTGAAATGGTCTTAGTAGGTAGCTAAGTAAACCCCTTTCTGTTTACATGTGAAAAGTCAACAATTTTTGTGTTACCAATAAAAAAATTAATGAGAACTTTATTCAGGATGTAAAACAAAGTGGACACCTATATCAACAAATAATAAATGACTGGGTGTGGCTTAGTGTGATCGTGTTACTTTAACTTACTAGAGCCTGACCTAACAGCTATTAAAATAGTCAAGCTATGAACAGACACGCAGCCACAAGTCCATTGACATTTCAAGATTACCCTGGCATCAAACTACTAAAACTTCCTCATTACTTAATGTTTGTTTAAGTTCTCAAATTTATAAAATGAAGTGTGGCACTTTTTCCAACCAATGGAATGAGATTTAGAATTATATAATTAGCATGTGTTCTTCTACTTGGATTTGATTACATTCATGTGTTTATAAAATTTCCTTCAAAAAGCATATGTTGAAATTTAAAACTATTAATACCCAAAGTAAAAGCACTTGCTGTAGCTAAGGTATAAATGGATGTCTTTAGTCATCTTAAAAGTAATAAATTGCTTGAAAGATTAACCAAAAGTGAATGAATCATTCTATACATTGAAAACTATTGATATACCACATTCATAAATGAAAATATGTAGTATTAACTAAAAAAAACCTGAAGGGAAAAAAAGCTGCTACTTTTGTGAGCGGCTTGGCTTTTTATAATTTTACAGTATTAATCCACTTACATGCAGTGGGGCTAAAATAGACATCATGGTTAAATGTGTCTAAAAATAGCAAAAAACATCAAGTGCCTATCTATCACAATTGGTTGGCAACTTATCTTTGCCTCTCAGTCTTGTGCCCAACTGAACTAGATTTGTCTTGCGCCCAACTGAACTAGATTTGAGCTTGTAACAGTATATGTGTTCCTCTACTTAGCGTTTGCTGTATCCAATAGAAACATTAAGTGGCTTTGTCTCACCATAAGAATTAAATTTCGACCAGGATTTTGAAAGATAATTAAAGCTATTTGAACTCAACACTTAAGTGAGAAGGACAATTAGCTGTGTACTTAGCCTCACTCAGAAAAAAATATCTAAAATAGCAAGTAAATTACAGGTTTCATAAACTACATTTGTATAGGCAAAGCAAATCAATTAGCAGTTTATTAGAAGAAAAAATAAAACATTAGTAGCCTATACAAAATATTTTAATTTATATTTTTGCTGGGCCAGAAACAGGAAAATATTGAATGCATGCTGATACTGTTGAGACAATGATTGCATAACAACCTACTAAGTGCATATTTACATTTTTTAACCCATGAATGTGGTATTTTGTATCTACTTGTACACTGAACATTTTCATAGAACATCACCCCTCAATTTAGTTCTCAATGTCTGTGGTTAATCCCCTATTTCACAATATGATCTGTCAAATCAGGTGAAAATTTTACTAATTCAATTTCATTTAGAAAGTGAAAATTTTATTATTGATGATTAAATATTTTGCATTTTAATTGTTCAACATTTATAAATAAAATTTTTCAATAGTTCAACTTTGTATGCCCTTTAAAAAAAAACCATAAAAGGGCTGGTGTTTATTAATACATCAAACAAAACGGAACAGTTGTGTGTTAATGTTTAATTTTTCACTGCAAATACTTCATTAATTAAGGTCTCAAATTAAGAATTTCTGTTTTTAAACTCCTGAGTTGTTAGGAAGTAAAATGAAAATCAATTAATATTTGACCTGACAGACTAACACAAAAGTGTTAAAAGTATAGTGAACTTCAGCGCAAAAATTCAATACAACATATTTATATTGAAAAATGTTGTACACAACAATAAAATTACTATAAATAATTGATTCTTTAACTTTAAGAATCTTTAACAATTTTTTTTTTCATTTTTACTCACTTCAAAGAATATTTTACCAAAAAACTGTTTTTTAATGTATTAAAGGAGCAATACATTATCTGTCAATTACCCCCCCCCCCCCCCTTTGGTCATTCCCACACCCCAATCATTCCCCCCATAAACAATAGCTTCCACCCAACAAAAATGCAGCCAGGCATTAAATCCTTTTCAAATACCCCTGGACATTAAGTTAAGAGATATAGATACAGATTGGGATAGGTAAAGGATAGTTAGGTAAAGGTTAGGATACTGAAGGAGTTATGGTCAGAGACTTTGTTGTTATCTCTGATGGGTACCTAACTCACGTTAGGGAAAGTAAAGGCGGCTGGGCATAGTGCTGCCCACACTATCTCCTCATATGCCAAGGTCACAGAGACAAGTGAACTCTACTTCACTTGCCCCATAGACAGTCAGGTTTGAAAGGGAACTTTACTACTTATTACTTACTTGTTGTTATAATTGGTATTTCAGTGTACTGCAGGGGTATGAGAGTATGTGTGTAGTGGAATGTTTTGTATGAATAAAAGATTCTGAATGTGACAAAGCACACAAGGATGTGACATGTGGGAGTAGGATATTGTTGTTAAGGGAAAATAGTTTAGAACTGTCTTTGTCCTGTTGTGTTAATGGGCAGATGTATTTGTTTGTCATCGTAGATATAGTCATTTTGTGTAACAGTGCAATAAACTATGGAAGGAATTCATTGTGGTCCTGTTAAGTGATTCCTTTAGTATCGTCAATCATTGTTTACAAAGTCATGTTATCATTCAAGTGTCGACCCTGTCCTTAAACTCACTTTGCAACAATAGTTATTGTTGGACACTTGGATATGGTCACTTATAGGGCTAAAATAATAAATACATCAAGGCTGAAGTCGTTAAAGCTATCAAGAAAATTAAGAGTGTTAATTCAGATAGATGATATGGAATTCCAACAGAGAGACTTAAGATAGAGCCATCTGCAACAGCAGAAATGGTGCAAGCACTCCTGCAGAAGATGTTGAAACATGCTTTCCATGATACGATGTGAAATCTGTTCTCCTCTAAGATTCTGAGACATGGAGAGTAACACAAACTATTAACCACAAACTTGAGGCCACTTGATGTTTGGTATGGGATGAGGGCAATTGTTTACAAACTTTTTTTTTTCAAAAGTCATTTTCTTGGTCATAAATCTTACTGAATCATTGAATGAAAAGCCAGCATGTTAAAGTTACAAAGTTTAATTAATGGTAAAGATAATTTTTAAAAAAAAATTACCTACTTTTTAAATCTACTTATTAATTCATACTAATTTAAGGGTGGTTTATAAATGATGTTTTAAAATGTCAAATCACATTTAATGCCTCCTATATTATACTTTTTATAAGTTTATAAGCCCAACATTGTCACACCCTTGATGTTACTATTAGTGATTATTAAATTATTAACTAGCTTGTCTGTAGGCCCAGAAGTCACAAAGTCTTAGTCATTGTAAGTCATCAGTCTTCAATAAACAATGTCAATAATTAATAAAGATCATCTACTCAATATTGACAGAGCAATGAGCATAGTAAATATTTAAGGTAGAAACCGAAGTTTCTGCCATTTTGAGGGGAGTGGTAGGCTGAGGTGTAACATCATGTTAGGGAGGGGGCTCGTTTTTTTGTGATGTGCAGTGATGGAGGACGGGGAGGGGGGGGGGGGGGGGGGGGGGGTCGGAATTAAATATGTAATAGAGTCTTGTTCTGCTAGGGACTCAAAGGGTCCATTAGAAAAATTGACCAAAGGGTGATAGAGGGTGTCAATGTCCATTAATGGACTCTATTGATAATAGGTGTGTTGAGGCTGTATTCGTTATTACTATATAGCATATTTGAGTAGTATTGTAATTTTGTCTAGTTTTATGGTAAGTGGGATAGTAACCATTAGGCTAATTTTTAGGCATATATGATAAGACTTGAGTTTGGGTTAGCATAAGAAATCACCTACGATCTAGGCCTATACAATATACTTATATAGGCCTACATAGTTTAATAACTTATTAGTTAAGTAGGCCTGCCTGCTGCCTATACCTTATTTACAGAGCTTCTTCCAGGCATCTCTTCGGGGGGGGGCTCTGTCCCCCCCCCGTCCCCCCCCCCCGAAGAAAGTCTACCACTCCCCTCCCCCCAACGAGATGGATTTAATATAGTAAACATAGTAAACATACACTTTTACTAGTGTCCGCGCCCCCGAAAAATGTTGACCCCCCCCCCCCCCAAAAAAAATATCAAGTGCCCCCCCCCCCGAGAAAAAAGTCTGGAAGAAACACTGCTTATTTAATATTTAATATGTTAAGATTAATTAGTAGGCCTAGTAATTACTAATTAGCCAAATAGTCAAATAAATTTAAGTTACCCCCAGGCCTAATTTAAAAATTTTATTTAACAGCCTAATATATTAATTTTATGCAGATTTTAATTTATGTAGTAGGGCCTATAGTATATGTAATGTATGTAGGCCTACTATGCAGTTAGCTTAGCTAGCCCTCCCCCCCCCCCCCCCCCCTGTTGTTGAGTCAATTGAGTGTTACTGTTGATCTATTCTATTTGATTTGAAGTAATTGAAGTATTGTTGGGCTAGATATTTCAATGTTACATCAGAGGTCTTAAGTCTAAAGGCAAACGCTTAATAGAAATAAAGCAGATCTAATCTAGATCTACAACGTACTATTATTAGATTAATCGACCGAATACATATCAACTACGGCTGATTTAATTTTAACTGCGGCAGCAGTGACAGTCAGTACAGAAGTGTTTTTTTCGTTTAGCACTTCCTTGTTTTCGTGTCATTTTTAAAATAAAAACAAATTATTACAAATAACTTACCCACACCAAGTTTTCTACGACTATCTGTTTGCTTCCAAATTTTCATTTTTTAAAATTATCCTTTCTGCAAAGACTTATTCAATACACAAACAGTCATTTAACCATTTTTATAACATCGATGTTTTGGAAATAATAATGCAAGGTGCCATTATTGTCACGTGACCGTTTTTATTTTTGTATTTTAAATGATTCGAATGAGTGCGCATGTCGTTGTTAAGGATAATAAATATGGCGATCCATGTATACAAATTGTCTACTACTAACTAATGTGGCTAAGCTGCAAGCAATAAGTGTATCTCGGATAAAGTTTTACAGGTACTTATCATACTTATGAAAATGATTATTTAGAAATCGTACATGTCTGTCTTTTAAAGGCGGACCTAATTTAAATATAACATCTTTTATCTAGCTAGGTCAGGGGCTATGAAATTATGAATTATGACATGAGCGTAGTTTAGCTAGTCACAGCTAGTGCCGCAAAAAGAGCAGAGACTAAAAAAAACAAAAAGGATTGTACTTTTGTACAGTTAACAGTAGGCCTACTACGTTATATTTATACTTAGGCCTTCTTGTTCAACTTACTAACTTATTAAATTATTGATTAGGCCTATTAAATTATGAATTTTATAGGCCCTAGGCCTATTAAATTAAAATTAATTAAATATATTTATTTAAGTTTATGTCAACTTTATCTCTATCCAGTCCAGTTCTGTAGGCCTACTCTAACCAGTATCTACTATCTGTATCTAGCTAAAGTAAAAGTCCAGTCCAGAGTTACTCTTTTATAACTCTTTTATAACAATGTCTATCATGGCTTATAACTTATAAGTAATAGGGTAGTATTATTAATTATGTTTAGTAGTAAAAGATGTTCTTCACAATCAATCAGAGTAAACTAATCAAATGTTTAAAAAATAATAATTATAACAGCTTAGTAATAGGCCTATAAATATAGACATCTATTTAGTATTTACTGTAGGCCTATTTTTTAATTTAGTATTTAGTTTACTATTTAGGGCCAATATTTGACTACTTTTATAGTATTTGAGAGACAAATGTCTATAATTTAATATATTACTATTAGGCCTATTTACTACTCATGATGCATTGCACTTGACTTTCAACTAGGCTTAGAGTCTATATAAATTAAAAAAATTGAATATTAACATCTCTACGATCTAGTAAAAGTAGATCTTAGTTTCAGACTGCAATGCAGCAATTACAATAGACTACTAGAGTCTACTCTCTATTCTGTTTTTAAATTTCATGTAAACAAACAGTACTTGGTCGTGAACATAAAGAAAAATATTTGTATATAAAAATTTGCATATTCTAAATTGTACTAACTTGTGTTCTTGATTTTAGGTTCGAGAGTTTTCTGTAATTTCATAAACAAATAAAAATGTCACGAGCTCAAGCAGAAAGTGTAATTAAAAATATTATACGAGAAATCGCGCAAGAATGTGCTTGTAAAGGTCAAGCTGTGTCTGAAACATTAGTTGCATTTATGGTAGGTTTTAATCTTTTAGTGGTAGACTAAAGATGGTTTGCTGTGTTTCTGAGGGGTCATCCATTCTTAAATAACATCAACCTCCTAGGGCGAGGGGGAGGGAAGGTTAAGATTTGTCATTTTTGGGGTGAGGGTTGACTTTTTATGATGATGTTAAAGGACAAAATCTTTTTAAAAGTGTGATGTTTATGGACCTAAGACTTAAGATAAATTACAGAGTGAAGTCCTGACACTCTAAATAAATTTCAATTATCCTTTTACTTAAACTTTAGGTGAAAGCTGTTGTTTTAGATCCAGCTAATGAATTTAATGTTGACCGCACACTAACTAAAGATGATGTTCAGAAACTCATACGTGTAAGTTTTTGAGAAATATTTTTTCTATCAGAAATACTTACTGTAATAGTTTTGTCGTGTACTAAGTATGTAGTCTGTATTTTAGTACTTTTAAAATTATTTCTAATCATCTACTTACCTGCTTATCAGTTTTATGATTGTTTTTTTTTCTTGTTATTTAAATATCTATTATTGTGTTGTAGTTTATTTTATTATAACTAATTTTGCTTAAGTTTTCTTTGTATATTATTTTGTTACTGAAAATTATAAACACAGTTATGTGTTGATCGTCTCATGGATGCTCGGTCACCTGCCTTGGATACAGTCAAAATGCAAGTTTATTTTGACATGAACTACACCACAAGAGGTAAAGCCTACAGTTTTTGTTTTCTGCACTTAAATTTTTTAAGATCAACAAAAAAAAAACTTTTATCCCAGTCTAATAATTTCAAATTTCTTTGCAAAACAAACTGCACAGCTTTGTTTAATTAATACAGAGCATTTATTTTATCATTTAGCTGATTTCTTGGATGAACATAGAAGAGTTCTTGAGTCTCGGTTGCTGCCTGTAATAAGGGAGATTACTGACAGTAGAGCAAGAACACGTGAAGAACTAGAAAGTCTGTATAGAAAAATAGTGTCTGCAGTTCTTCTGAGATCAGGATTAGGAAGTCCAACAGACATTGCAGTTGTTAGAGAAGCTACTGGTAAGCTGTTGTTGCAAAGCTGATTGTAAAAAGAAATATAATGTAAAAAACAAACCTCAATATTCAATATTAGTGTTCCATATTAAATATCATTGTATGTAATTTATTCTCATCAACTCCACATAAAACTATTTCAGCTGCTCTTCAGTCAGTTTTTCCACAAACTGAACTTGGCACATTTATGACTCTAACCAAAAGGGAAAAAGAAAGACAACTGACTGAGCTCACTATGATAGTAACAGGCATCAGACTTTTTAATAAAGAATGTGGAAAAGGGGGAGAAGGCATTGATGACTGTGAGTGAGATTATTTTTACAAATTCTGTAGGACATTTAATACATGTCTATAACATCTGCTGTCACAAATTTAAATGCATATTTACAATAGAGGAAAAAAGAAAAATGTTTATACATTGTTCTTAAGGTAATATTCACAATGCCAGTTTAATATTTTCTTAATCCAACATTTTTATAAATTAAAATGAACACCAGCTGAATAAGCTTTTTAAGAAGCAGTAGTTAAATCTTTTTTTCTAATGAATAATAGTAAATCATGTATGACTCTTACCATTTGTATGCTTTTTAAAAAAGTAATAGATGCCCCAGCATCTATATCATTTATTTATAATCTTGCAGGTAACCACATGTTTCATGAACAAGAGCTTTCAGACAAATACTCAGTTGTCTTATTTTATTTTAAAAGTGTACAATTTTTCAATATTTTACATTTATATGATACGGATATTTAAAGCAAATTTTGTAATCAATTTAATGATCTATACAACTTTCATAGCTTGCACATTTAATTTGAAATTTATTTATATATTTTAGTGCCAGCTATTCTAAATGAAGCTGTTCCAGCTACAACCCAAAGTGTTGATGAAGAGATTCAAAGCACGTTGCAAAGTACTTACAAGTACACAGCTCTTATAGAGGATATGTTGAAAAAACCCTCAAAAGAGGGCCTGTCCATCCAGTTGCTGAAAGAAGCCTTAATAAACACTCGTCAACATGAAACATTTTTACGGATAATACTGGTAATTAATTAGAGCATTTAGCATAATATAGAGGTATAATTATACATGTATTTAAAAACTACTGATCTAGATCATCACCTTTTTCTGTCCACTTTATAAACACTTTTGATACTTATAAGATAAGTATTTCTAAGGATTATTTGATAAGTACACATAAAGTAATTAGCATAATCATGATTAACAATTGTAGCAATGCATCTAAAGGTTATAAATCTAGTACAGAACTACCTATTATATTAAATAAGACAGGTTAACAACTACAATGCGATCATGCAGATCAGAGAGAACATTGTTGCCAAGTAATACTTTTAAAACATTTCCTACAGAGTGATGTTATCAGTTGTGCTCATCAAGTTGAACAGTTGGAAAATCAGCTGGGTACAAGAATGGAGCAATTGCAAGCTACAGTTCAATCTAAAACAGCTGTGCCTACTGCACAAGTCTATGTAAGTTCAATTCTTCTGAACCATTTGATTTTTTCATTTTTTGTAACTTAAAGTTTTTATAACTACTGATTCATATTGGTGTTTTTTAACATAAAAATAAAAATATTATCATTAAGTTTTAATGTGGGGTAATTATATAGCAAAAAAAAAACCTAATAAATCACTGAATTTGTTGGTCTTTCAAAAGCAGTAAACAGTGTATTTTAAAGCTAACAGCCAACTCTATAATATGCTTTTCATTTATTTAGATTCTGTTTTATTTTGAAATGTTTGCCTAGTCTAACCTGTTTTGAATCTTTCACAGCCTCAGTTTATTCACCTTGCTCAGCTCTGGAGCAGCTTTCAAGATGAAATGGTTTTACTGAGTGTGCTTAGTAACATTTTAGCAAGTCTTGAGCCATTCACAAGAGTAAGAAACAACTTTCCACATACAATACAACTTCAATACTTTTTGAAATAGTAATGTTGTCATGTTTTTTTACTTTGTAAAGGGGAGATAATTTATCAACACAAATTATTTCTTCTAATCAATATTGTGTTTAGTGTTTATCAGAAGAAAAGTCAGTTATATCAGTCTACTATAGTTTTATACACAATTTTGACACTTATTTTCTATTTTTCATTAAATTCAGAACCACAAAGAGCAGCTCAGTGATGAGATCATAAATTTATACTTGGAAGGTGTAGAGGTTTTAACTGATGAAGAGCGGATTGAGAGGGTAAATACACTTTGAAAATTTTAACATTAGTATAAATACTTTATGGGACGGAGTGGTCTAGCGGTAGAGAGCTGGACTACTAACCCGTAAGTCTCGAGTTCGAATCCGGGTTCAAGTCAGTAAGTCGTCCCTGAGTCCACCCAACTCTGATGGATACCTAACTCACATTAGGGAAAGTAAAGGTGGCTGGGCATAGTGCTGACCACTCTATCTCTTCATATGCCGAGGTCACAGAAACAAGTGAACTCTACTTCACTTGCCCCATAGACCGTTAGGTTTGAAAGGGAAACTTTTTTTAAAAATACTTTGCTGATTATATTGAATCTGAGCTGTTGCTAAATAACTACCCTGGCAAAGGCTCCAACCTTTTCCTAAATAGCTCTATACACACAAAAAATGTCAGCAAAAATTTGTCTTGTCAGATGCAATAATAAGAACCATGTAGTTTTTTACATTTTGCTAGGTTTTTATAAGGTTGAAATAGGTCAAAAAAATTTCTATCAAAGTACATTATCTGGTAAAACCTTTTTTATTGAGCAGGCCTTTATACCTAATTTTCAAGCTTAAGCAATACAATATTTCAGACCAGCAGTGAGAGGATAAATCCTAAAGACTACAGGGCTGAGAATAGAGACTGGCTATTTTCTGACACCACCAAAAATTTCTCTCGACTGCTGCTTCAATACAGGGTAAGTTGAACACTCAACCATTCCATTACATTTTTTTTTCCATTTATTTTTAAATAATAATTTGTTGTTAAAAGTTATACAATTTGCACAGGGCTACTGTGCATACACTCTTGGTAAATGTGACAGACTTCTAGTGCCCGGAAATCCTGAAATTGGAGTTCTTCGATTCCGAGAACATTACTATGCTTTCTCTTCTAAAGAAGCAGCATATAAATTTGCTGAAAACCCCCAAGAGTAAGCATGTTTCAAACTTTTATTGCTCTAATTATTTAAAAACTTAAACCCATAAATTGTTCACTGTATTTAAAAGTGGTATCAAAGTGTTCCTGTTTCTCTTAGGTACATAGCTCTTGTGGCAGAAGCTGCAAAAAAAAGTCCTGAATTAATTCAGCTTCTTGAACTTCATACTCAGTTTTCTACAATAACCCCCTACTCACAGGTTGGCATCCAATTTTATTTCAATAATTTCAATGTTAGGTAAGAATAAAAAGCTTTTAAAATTTACTGGTTTTTTAATGTACTAATCAATAAGAAAATAAAGCACATTTTTCTTTCTATTGATTTAGTAAAAGGGTTGGTTGCTAAAATGTGTAAAAGAGATTTCATGAGTGACTGATACTTTATACTATATAATCATAGAAGAACCTAACAATCAATTTAAAATGTGGTTGATTTAGATTGTTTTCATTAATAGCAATTAATTTAACTATTTCTTATACTTTTAGAGTCGAGATGCAGGTAAAATGATTGAAAAGCCTATTACTAAATGTGACAGTGGATCTCAAACAGACACACATATTTTAGAATCAAACATTGTCAAGACATATGCATGGAATGAATGGGAATTGAGAAGGAAAGCAATCAAATTGGTAATGGTTTTTTAATAAAAATACCTTTGACTATAATTTTAAACACTAAATATGTTTCATGGTCTAGTTTTCAGCCAAATATCTTAGTTTTATTAATGGACACGAGCGAGAAAAGTCTCAAAGGTATTTGAGAGGTGCATAAATTAATTTAAAAATCTTGCACGGCGTAGTTACAATTAATATGGTTATAAAATCCTGTCTTTCTGGTTATTTTTGGACTTTACTAAAGATTGGACGTATTTGATGTTTTTAATATTTTCGGTAACTAAATAAAATTTAAAAAAAAAAGCAAAAACAATTTGGTTTTCACGTGTAATGGCGACATAAACAATGGCATCCTGCTATTGGATAGGCCGGCATAGATTTTATTGTACACATTGTAAGCTAAAAATAGAAAACTCGGTCATGGGGTTTTAAATTTGCATTGTTATTTAAAAACTTGATCTGCAAAGTTTTGTAAACAAATAGTTATCGATCACTAAGTTACTGTACAGCCAATCAATATTTGTCTTACGAAAGTGAAACATCCGGTTTAAACTTAGGCTTGATGAAAATAAATAGAGATGTAGCCTTAAACTCAACAAATTATTTTCAAGTTCTCTGGATTTGCAACTTTTATAGCATTTATTCTAAAAATATAAAATTTCTAAATTAATTTTAGGCTTAAGTTTTTATTTTTTATTTTTTTTTACGGTCTAAATCTAAAAAGCATGTTTTTACTCCATGTCAACAACATTATAGAAGGAATCTCGTCAACTCGCTCGCCTCCATTACTCTGATAATGGTGAGAAAGAATATAAAGGTCTTATTTAGCCTGCCAACTGATAATCTTGTTGGGGATGGTATTACCTGGTACTTTTTGGTATAGATAAAACTGTCAATATTTAGTATATTGCAAAGTTTCTTTGGTGTCAATGTTTAAATTATATTGGTCTGGTGTGGATATTATCAAATTCTCTAAAACTTGCTCTGACTTTACCATCCCCTATACTCAGATTTGAATGGCTTAAATTTTAAAACACCTACATACATTTTAATATATTATTTTTTTTTAATATATTATTATTTTAACATATTATAAACCAATAGGAAATAAGAACTCAATTTTTAATTGAAATATTTAGGCAAATTTAAGAACTAAGGTGACACATGCCATGCAGACCAATGGAAGCAACATGAGGAGAGACAATGAAACTCAAGTCTATTTACCCAAGTGAGTTGCTGTTTTTTTGTTTTTAATTATTTCCTTAAAGTTTCCTCACTCTAATTACTAGCTTCAACTTTTGTTATAAACTGCTTAGATCAAACTTTAGCAGATTAAAACTAGTCTTGAAATTAATCAATAAGTTTATGTATATGAAATTGATATGGAATTAAAAATGCATTGATTTTATTTTACCAAAGGGAACAAGATACACAGACTAAGCAAGACAACTATAGCAATGTCTCCAAACCCCAGACCTTCCTGCATGGTTTGAGAGGTGGTGGCACTGGTCTACCAACTAACATGCTTAAAGTTGATCTTACTGTTGATGTCTCAGAGCCAAAAATAGTGCGAGAGTTTATGGTTCCAGGAAAAAAATAATTTCTTACTTTTATTTATCAAAACTTCAAAACAAAAAATAAGCAATTATATTTACAAATGGATATTTTTTTTTATATATGTAAAAGAATATAATATACTTTTTATGCACAAAATTTAGATTTATAAAATTTTATAAATACTTGTACTTTCACATCAATGGTAGGCCCATTTTAATAGTACTAATTACAGAATTTTGTTTAACATTAAACTATACATTAACTTGCTGTTTATACTGAAGTAAGGATCACAGACTAAAGGACACATAATGACATTCACTAATGAAAAGAAATATTGTAAAATTTCTTTATAAATTACTACTTTTTAAACAGTGTTCTAATTGATTCCATTAGACTGATTAGAATTCAGTTGCATAATATGAGTTTTAATAAAATTATGGTGTAACTGGAGATTACTCTAGGCTTGTGTCAGTGTTACTAGTTTTTATGCTGTTCCTGTTTGATTTCAAAAATAGGACCTTATTATTGGAGAACAGTTCAATGTTGCATCCAGGATATTAATTTTTTTTGTACAGCAGCTGTTTTTAATGTTAAAATTTAACTTTTTGTATAATTTAAGTTTGTGTACACTAAACTGTTTTCAACCAAAATATCACCTCATACTTTGGGTGTTGGTTGTGTCAATGAATAAATTAATATAAAAAAGTTGTTGCTTCATAAGTCTTTTGATTTACTACTGTAATCAATACTTTCTATGAGCCAGTTTCATAGATAAATGTTTGAGAAACCAAATAGCTGTGAAGTTGATAATTATAGAACAGTACAAAACATGCACACAAGAAATGTTATTTTTATCAGTGATAAAAAAAAAAACAATATTTAACCCTCAATAAAATTCTTTATTACAAAGTAACCAAAAATTGTGCAATAACCCAATACATTTATTTTATGCAAGAGTTCAACATGAATTACCATCAGTAATTGTAATATAATATCAAACAAAAAAATGCAATTTACTTAGTATACATCTTGTTTCATAATTTGTTTAAAAAAATAAGCATTTTATATTGTTTTGCCCCATAAATGATTTTAATAAGTTACATTTGTACAAGATACATAATAAAAAGCACCAAAATTATTTGAATAAAATGTCTAGTTCAACTGTCTAGTATCACCAGTGTAAACAATTTATTCTTAAATTAAAAATTTCTAGTTGTGTTAATAAAATATAAACTTAATCACAGCAAAAAAAAATGAAATGGTAACGGTCATGTTTCTTTTATGATAACTGTCTGACTACACATTTATACACAAACAAAAACAAACATTACGTTCTGTATTAAATAAATTATTATTTATTAAAAATAGATGTTTTTGAAATTCTTTTAGAAATTACATTAACAAAAATTCAATTTCAACAGAGTGTACTCATTCAAATGCAAAAAACAAATTGTATAGATCAATCTTTGGAATTGAAATCACTGATTTTAAAAATTCTAATAAAATCTGTCTTGACTTTTTAATTCGTCTTAATCTGTTTTAGAAAAACAAATCCGAATACAAGTTTTTGTGTTTATTTTCAATGAGATTTTAAACATATATTTTTACAAAATGTACAACCATCTCAAGTGTAGTAAATATAATGGAGATTTCTAAAATCATTAAGATTAACCATTAAAAATTATGTACCCAATCATCCTCATCTTTGAATTGCTTTGAAGAAAAAGGGAAATAATACTTCCAAAAACAACAACCAGATTTTTGTTTTTAAATTTCCTTTAAATTTTAATTATAAATTATATGAGTAAACTAAATTCTATACTACACCAGGTATATCAATATTTCAAACAACTTTTAAAACTATATAACATTTAATCAATAACAACATCTGGTCTAAAAGTGTTATCAGCTTAACGCTCAGTGTTAGACTGAACATTATGTAAGGATGGTTTATTTTTATCAAAAGCTCTAAAATACAGTTATAAATACCATATACAGTTTAACATTATAGGATAAAATATATCATTATATTTATTGTGACAAACTTGGACTGAATAGGGTCTAATCATTATACTTAATTTTAAATGCCATTTTAAAAGAAACATTCTCAATTCAAAGTTACTTCAAATTTCTAGAACAGACCTTAAAGCATTAACATTTATGGAAATGTTATGAATTACTAGTACATAAAAATTATATATAAGAATGTAACAAAAGACATGAGATAATTGAGAATATTCTGCATACTCTAATAAACTGAAAATGTATTATTAGCTGCTGATCCCACAAACACTGTAAGGTAAAATTATAATACAAATCACACGGCAACATCTGATAAAGGCAAAAATACCTATATGTAGTGAGAAAGTTCTTTAGAGTTCAGTATCCACCAGAACCAAAACTTCTACCATATTTCTAAAGGATTATTCAGTTCATTGAATATATATTTCACCTGCAAGTGAGCAGTAAATCTCAACAAAGACATGAAATTTTAAGTTCCTGAATTACCAAAATTTCATTCAAGTGAAAAATTAGAGTGGAGTTAGGTTTATCACACAATGCATAATACCATTATAATCAATCACCAAGCAAAAATATGTCTTTATTTTTTTTTACAGATAAACATTTTTTTTTAAAAGTGTGGAAAACTGTAGGTCTGTAATCTATGTTTATATCTGATTAAAGTTCAAGGGGATCTAAATCAGAGTTTCTTTTAGACTCCTCTCTATGAAGGAGGGAGGGGAGAGGCTCCCCCTCCCCCAGTAAATATCCACCACTTCCACTTCCCTCCCCCCACCTCCCGAACAAAATAAACTATATATATAGAATATATAAACTTTAACTTGTGCCATAGCCGGAAGAAAAATGTCTGAAACTTTGATCCAAATGTAAGTTTTGCTATGACCTAACTTTTGTGTATGCAAAGGCTTAAGTAAAAAAGTGGGAGTGAGTTCATTTTAAAATAATCTGTGCAAACTTGCACAAGTATTTAGATCTGTCTGTCAATAAAAAAACAACCCATGGCTATTACATATTGAATAAATAGACTACTTGCAAATACAATTTAATAATTTCCCAGTATAAAAAAATATCAATTCAAGAATTTATAAATGGAAAAATAAAAATGAATGACCCAAACTAAGCCTAAAAAAATTCCTCAAAGCTTTCATCTAAAAGAGAAGTAGGAGAGAGAAAATTTCTGAAGATAAATAAAATAAAAAGTGTGTTTGGTTTTTTCTTAACTATATAAGAAAATAAGTCTAGTCAGTGTTGAAGGAAAAATATGTAAACAATAAGTACAAAACTCAGTTTTTGTTTATAACAAAGTAGGCCTATCTTATTTCATGATTGGTTTGGTTCATCTTAAACAATATAAGTATAATATAAGATTTGGAACATCAATTTTTTTCCAAATTTCCCATAGTCATCTTTCCATGACAGCAAATGTTTTTTTTTTAATGTATTATAAAAATTAGAACCTCAGTCTTAAACAAGGGCTCATTTAGCAAGTTATCTAATTAGCATGTTCTTCCATTTTTTTCTTTTTTTTTTCTATTAATTTAAAATTATTAAAGCATATTTATTTAGAATGAAGTAAACATTGTAGCTCTTTTTTTTTAATTGCAAGAAAAATTAAATAGGATGTGTTGAATTCCCAGCAAAGTACATTTCAATATCTTCTAATGATTTTCCTTTGGTTTCAGGAATATACTTAGCAACAAACCAAATCCCACACACACAGCAAGCGCTAAAGATATAGAAAATACCAGAGCTTCCCAGAACTGCCTGTAAGGCAGAAAACTGGCTTGTTACTATAAACGCAGAGCCCCATGATGCTATTATAGCAACAGAGCCAGCTGCTCCTTTGCATCTAGTAGGAATTATTTCTGACATAATAAGCATTGGTATGGGTCCCCATCCAAGAGAAAATCCAATAATGTAGAAGGTCAGGCAAAATACTGGAATCCAAGTATTCAAAAATGGATTCAGCCATCCTTTGGCGGAGATCTTGTAATACAGTCCAAAGAGAAACAGTGTAGTAGCCATTATGAGTCCACCAACATGGAGAAGTTTTCTTCTTCCTGCCTTATCCATCAGATACACAGCAGCAAGAGTTGCTAATATCTGAACTATGCCAATGATAACTGTAGCAGTGTAGGCAAAATCCCCAACAGCAGATTCAAAAATAGAAACAGTGAAGAACATTACAGCATTAATGCCTGATAGTTGTTGAAAGATCATGATAAACACAACCAAAGATAATGGATATGAGAACTCTTTTTTCTGAAGTATCTCCATAATTGACACATTTTCCTCAGGGTCAGATCCATCCTCCATCTCACGACACTCTTCATGAACATTAGTATGAGGATCTCTTAATGCCTGCAATGCAAGAATGGCATCTGTCTTGCGGTTTTTCTTCAATAGCCATCGAGGAGTTTCAGGAATGAAAAATGTAAGAACCCCTGCAAGGAAACATGGAATTATGCACAGATGAGCCAGCCAGCGCCATTCAAAAAATACACCAAGGATGTATGCAGTGGCAATACCAATAGTAATAAAAAGCTGAACACAAGATCCAAGAACACCTCGCATTGATGTGGTGGAAATTTCAGCAACATAAATTGGGACACAAACTGTAACCATTCCACTGCCTAATCCTGTTAATAAACGACCAAAATAGCATTGATAACTTTCAGTTGCAAGCGCTATAATTAAGAATCCTGTTGTGAAAGGTATCGATAGAAATGTCATGGATAGTTTGCGACCAACTTTTTCAATAAGCCATCCTCCAAGCGGAGCACCCAACAATGCACCAATCGTCAGTAATGACCCGAACCAACTGCTTTCTTCTTGAGTTAATACTCCTCTTTTTATCATACTAGGAATAGATGGTGAACTGTAGCCAATAGCGATTCCAAAATTAAAGGCTCCAATCAATGCACATAAGCACCGAAATACCAGTTTCTTGTGCGAACCTTCATATTTCGACTGAATAATTCGCCCAGCCACGACTGCGTTTTGTTTGTCAGCCATTTTCTGAAGCTCTACGTTGTTACTCTGATGTCAAGGCCGGGTCAACTTTGTTTTGCCGTGAAATTTTGTTTTGGAACAGCGTAGAATACTCAGCACGTGACTGTCATGTGATATCATTTCTCCCATAAAGCTAAAGAGTACTAAAGACGTTATATAACTACACAAACTGTTCACATTGAGAAAGTCAAGCCACGAAAATACTGCTTGACTGTGAGTCCGACAGACTAAAATTTATACAACACTAGTAGATTCTAGTCAAGTTAGATCTACTATGACTATGTCTATGATGGCGCTGACTGATTTATTTATTGTTCTCATTGCTATTGTGGAGCTAAGCAGAGGCGCTTTTGGGATGCCGTTGCATGCTTCATGCAAAATTGATTGGTAAAAACAAAAATTGTTTTTAAAATTTTACTTTAGGCTAGATCTAATTAATACTAGATCTAGATCTAACTATTAATTACGCCAAATGCAAATTTATAGACCTAGAATAGGCTCATATGTCATATAGGTAATGACTAATGTAATTACTATAATTAGTAATTAGTAAATTAATTAGTCTCAAAATTACAATTTACTTTGCTTTAATAATTAATTGATACTAGGTCTAGATCTCTAGCTCATATGTACTAATCTAGATCTAGATCTGTTTTTTTCCTAGGTACTTTGGCCTGGGTTGTCCAGAGACAAGCAAAAAAATTATTGATCAGATAGATTTATGGAAAGGTAATGACTGCGGCACAGGTGAAAAGTGCAAATACAAAGTAAGTTGTTTTCCCCCTACAGTGAATGTTATTATTACCAGGTTTCTTTGTCTTGCATGTTTGTATAAAATGCAACTTGAAATTGAAATTTCAGTAGTAATTTTAAACATTTGGGATTTGGGACTTATCAGATATTTATCTCACCTATCAGAAGAATAGAAAGTATCTCTTTAAGCCATATGCTAGTCTGCAAACACAAAAATCTCTAGTTGAAACCTGATTTCAAGTAAAATGTCCCTGATTCAACAATGGGTAACTAACTCATGTTAGGGAAAGTAAAGGCAGTTGGTCATAGTGCTGACTACATTATCCCTTCATATGTCGAGGTCGCAGAAACTGATGAACTCTAGTTCACTTGCCACATGGACCTTCAGGGTCGAAAATGGAACTCTACTTAACTTTCGTTAAGCTACGAATATAAACATCTAACAAAATAATTTATAGCAAAGGCTTGTAATTTATTGATTGAAAACAGATTTTGGGTACTTAACCATTTTAAGTAGGCCAATCACTCTGAAAATGCAACAGTATCAGTTTCCAGTGTCTCTAAATCTCTAAACAAATTTTCACAATAAGTGCGAATACCATAAATGTCTAAATGCAAACCTATAATACCATCTTTCAAATCTAATTGATTTGTGTATTTATAATTAAATAATTTCTTTTTTAGTTTATCAGCTTTGATAATTCAGTGTTAAAAGCTACACACACAACTCCAGTGAAGAACTATGTTGATGACCTAACATTTGTTTTCAACTCCAATAGTACAACAAGCTGTGTTGTTAATGTAAGTATTAAAATGGCACACATGTTTATTGTCCAGCTTTTAAGTTAAAAGGTCAACAGTTATAATTTCTACTATTGTTGGTAAGCAATTGTGTGTTTTATTTAAATTTTAAATTAGAGCGTCCAAATACATAGTACATTTTTCCTTTTGTTTCCCTGTTATTGTTAGATCATTGAAAATTTTCCAGTAAAATAGTGTATTAAATAACGTTACTTACAAAATAAAATATGTCCACTAATAATATACTTATTTATATATATACATATATTTATATATATGTTTATGTGCATATATGCACACATAAATATAAATATTTTAAACTACCTTAATATTTGATAATGATAGGGCTTCAGCACCTCAGAGACTTGGTATGCAGTTCTAGATTATGGTACCAACTACTGCAATCTACACAACTTGATTACTGGTAAGTTTAATGGTCAGATAATTAGTGAGTTTGTACTGTATAGTTCCATGATGAGTCTTGTGTACTGAATTCTATAGTCAAGAACATTGGTCAGTCAAATAGTGACATTATTAAAACTGAAAAATGAGAAGAAACTATTTCATCAATGCACACATAAGTTAAATCATGTTTTCAAAAAATGTGCTAACATCTTTTGTTGTTGTAAGCTATAATTATGCCTGAAGTGAGTAAGATACTCTGACTATTTGTATCGCCTTGAAAGCATATTTTCTTAAAATAAGAACATAATTGAATGAATTAATCGGTAAATACAATTGAATTAAACTTTTTTTTTTTCCAAATTGTCAATTCAGGCTCTGGACTAGATCTGACAGCAAATTATAAGGAAGCAACAGACAATGGGAGATGTACTCAGTATTCCTCTGCCAATTGTGACAAATATTAAGTTTTGCTGCAAAACATTTTGCATTGCTATAATTATGCTGATCTGCTCAGACACTGAGAATTTTTTTTTTAAATATTTCCTTTTTTTATTCTGACTTTTTTTGCACTTTAATATACTGTTTAGAGAATTTTTTCAGTTCAATAAAACTTTAAAAGATTTCTTTTGCCTGATTTTTTTTTTTTTTTACAAATATGTTGTTTGGTTTTCATCAAAGCGGAAGATCCACTTCTATTATCTCTTTTAAACGAATCAACATAGCAGCTGTATTGACCACTATTAAAATTAAAAACTCCAGCTGGAAAAAAATAGTTAACCAATCACTCAAGAACACAATTCCAAATGTAAGCTTAACGATAGACCCCAATTTCTGTTTGATACTAACTTCAACAGGGATGCTTTTACTTCTACTGCATATTGTTCTAACATTGTCTCTAGGCTTACAAAAAATTTGGTTTATCCAGCAAGACTTGTGTTTAAAATAATATATATATTAAAGCCTAATAATTAAAAATAAGTAGGGCTCTAGAAGTAGAAATTATATTTACATTGGTTTTTTTTAAAACTCCTAACATGATGAAACTTATAATAGCGTGCAGCAGAGGCGTAGCAACCCTTCCCGGCACCCGGGTACAAACTTTCGATTTGCACCCCCCCCCCTTCCTTGAACTTTTCATTTGCACCCACCCCCACGAACTTTTCATTTGCACCCCCCATCAAACTTTCAATTTGGCGCCCCCCATAAGGTCGGCGCCCGGGGACATATGTCGTCGGCCCCCCCCCCTCACTACGCCTCTGGTGTGCAGGTCCAATTGTATAGTTTTACACATGGCTAAAGAATAGATTAAGAGAATAAAAGTTTAGCTTTTGTTTGAAGCTAACATTATTTTAGTCAGTAATTTTAAAAATAATGTTAAAAAGCTAGCTAATGTGGCACAAACTATTTTATCAATGCTAATACATTTAAGAATTTTTCAAATTGCTATTCAAGATTTATTCAATAATTTATTTTTACAGAAAGAAATACGTCTAAGAACTCTAAGTAAGAGCAGTCTCCCCTTAATGTAATGTGCTAGCTGTTCAAACAAAATAAAGCTAACTTTAAAAAAAATGTTCTATATTGGGTCATGAGACAAAATAATGACCAATAATCAATTTTTACAACTGAAGTGGAAACTATGTGTGGAACCACATGTAAGGACTGTGTGACCAATACACTGCCCATTTCTTCTACTATAAGGACACTTAACATGTAAATCCAGCCCAGAATGGCTGACAGATTTCAATTGTCTGGTCAGGCAGTCTTGTTGACCTTCCTGTTCCACAATGATCAATATATGTATGCTGATATGATATGGTGAAATTAGGTATCTCACAAAATACTTGTATATACCTTTGTGAGTAAAGTTTTTTTAAGTTACTGATGGCATCAGATGTTATTTCCTAAGCTACATTGCTGGATTGGATCAAACCAAAACTATTGGTGAAAAAATGCATCCACTATTAATTACTAGGACAGGAGGTCGGCGTGGTCGGGTCGGTTAAGCTCATGGTTGCTAAACCAATAAGTCCAGAGTTCTATCCAAAACCCGGGCAAATGAGGCTCAATAGCTGGGGACAGCAATTTTTCTAGGAGAGACAACTCCAAAATCAAACAACTGCTGCCTTGTAGTTTGTTCTTGGTTGGACAAAGGCTATGGAAGCAAATCCAAAAAGAAAAGCCGTCTGAAATCTGAGTCCATGGCCTAAATGGCGCATAACAAGTTGACACGTATACTTAATTGTGTTGGAGGGAATCTCTTTCAACACAAAAAATTAAAAAAGAAGAAGAAAAGAAGAATTACTAGGACAAGTAAAAGAATTCAACATCTATCTATCTACCATATTTTTTTTTTCTTAACACATTTTAGGACAACAAACTGCAAAATTAAGAAAGATTATTTAATATCCTTTGAATACATTAACAATTTTCTTAAAGTTTAACAAACTTGTCAAAATATTTTCTTAACACATAACTAAAAACAGCATCTTTTAAATCTTTACAGAAATTTCCTTCACAATTTTCTTTTACATTATAAATTATTTCAACATTTTAAAACATCACAGCACATAAATTAATCCAAAGATGGTCTTTAAAAATCTTATATAAATATCTGGAAACCAATATAATCTTCTAGAGCTAGAATCTATTGTATATTTAACTAATTCAAACATTTTGATAAAGCCTTACTACAAGTATATAAAGTATATAGCTGGTAACCAACACACACATTTAAAATATGAAAGCACATTGTACAGCACTATTTACATTTATGTGATGGTGTACTTCACTGATAGTGTTAACAATAAACATTGCTAAGAAAATGAGACCAAAAAAATAAATGCAGTGTTATATTTTAAAAAAAAACTAAATTTGTTTTTATGGAATGCATTTAACATCAAGATTAGCAAAGTAATAAAAACATCTTTCTTTTTCATGCTCCCTAGTTAATTTGCTATATTTAAGTGTTCAACAAACATTTTTAGCATAATTAACCAGAAATTCTTCAATATTCAAATTGATGCTAACAATATGAATTTCCAAAAAATGGTTAGCATATTAGCTACAAGCTAATTAGTCTTAAGAGAAAAAAAAATTGAAATATACTATAATAAAGAAGACCAACTAATTTTAACTAAAAATCATAAATAAATTGAAAATTTTGTAAGAATATGCCCAGAAGTAGTAGCTTAAGTATATATGCCAAAAAATGTGTCTAAGATAGTGTGTTTAGAATGCTTAAAGACGTGTTCAGTTTCTTATATTTTATATCAAAATAAAAAGTTACTAAGAAAAAAAATATATTCACACTTTCTAAACCAAGTGATTCCCCCACATTGTATATAAGAATCCATCTAGGGAAAAGAGGCAAAACATATTCAGGACGGACTTGCAAATATATTTTAATGCTAACATTGTATTTTCACCTAGGTTACAAAGTATACAATCTAGAATATACACACACACAAAATTTTAATTTAATTTCAAACAAATTTCTTAAATCAACATAGTATTGAAGCTGGCAATGTGTTAATTATTTGTGGATTTTTAAATTAGAATTTTAGGCATTTAATTTAACTTGTGAACCAAAGAAATTTCAATTTTTTTCTATTACTGATGGGAAAAAATGCATTTGGTATCCTAGAATATTTAGAGTAAATACACTTCAGAGGCTAAAATTTAGTTTGGTAAAAGTGTTCTAGAATATTTAGAGAAAATTAACTTCATAAGCTAAAATTCAACAAACACATGCATTAATCCAATATATATTTTTATCTGAATTTATATGAATTCTTTTTTAAACAACTTTTTATAAACATTTAGCAAAAAAAAATGTAATAACAGTAACATGTAATTCTCATGTTTACATTTTCTTACTTGATAACATGGAGAAAAAAATCATGGAACGCTTCAGAAATTCTCATTGCTGAGATATAGTTACAATATTCACATATATTTTTTTTTAAAAATAGTAAATTCCAAACTAGTACCACAATATTTTGGCCAAATATAAAATCCATTTGGCTTTTTGAAAACATTAAATTAAAAATGAACAGCTTTTGAAATGTGAAGTAACTGAAGCTGAGAACTGTAACTAACAAACAAAATGATATGCAGTGGGTGAGTTCAGCAATCAGCTCTAGTGACAGTAAATCACACTTCTAGTACATGTTTAAAGCAAGCACTTAACATAAATTATATATAACAAACATTTTCTCACTATAGTTTAAAGTTTAGGATAATTTTATACACAATATGCTTATATCAGATCATTTTTGTATGTCTATTTTGTTTTTAAAATCGTAAGAGAATTTTTTCTATTTTTAAAACTCAAAACGTCGTCATGGTTACAATATAAGTTACAACATACTCTATTAAAAGAAATTTTAACTGCTTTCTGCTACCCAGATTAGGGTTTAAAAACATTGCAAACAGTCTGCAATACAACAGAAAGACAAACAATTGCTTTAAATTAAAAGTAATCACAGAAAAAATAAGTGTGTGCTCTTGTGCATTTGATACGTGCAGCTAAAAAAATTTCTGAACACCTTATTATGAGACGCTTCATGCAATCAAGTTACTAAAAGAAATTTTTTTTATAACTGTCATGCATACATCATGGTTCATCAAATTTTACACAATGACAAACCTAAAGGTTTTGACATCAAAGTAAAGAACTGTACCTGATATCAATCATTAAGACTTTTAATAACATAAATGGCTGAATATATCTTTCTCAAAACTAAAGTGAATGCTAACACTTTAATTGCAAAATCATTTTATGATGTGACTTTAAAATAAAAATATGAGTTCAAAATCCCTGACATTAAAATGCATACCACTTTATCAAAGTACAAAAACTAACTGGAAAAAAATAACATTCAAAACACTGTTTATAAAAAACATCTAAGAAAATTCTTTATAGTAATTTTTCTAATATATTCATACAAGCTTTAATCACAACAGCATAGTTGAAAAAAAAGTTCCCTTTTTAAAAATAAAGAATAAAAGCAGTATCTCATTTCTACCGAATTAGCTAAATAAATTATACGTGTATTTCCCTTTGCTATCGGTTTAATTCTTCATATTTGGTAATAAATAAACACAAATGTATTTCACTTATAAATCAAAATGTATGTAGTTTCATAAAATTAATTTGATTAATCATTATTCTTTAAAATTAATATGATTTAATTCACACTTAAAGCTTTAAAATCTAATTTAGTTCTTAGTTTTCAACAGTCTAGGTAAAAAACATTAACGTTCCTTTCTGTTCACTTGGTCAGGATATTAAGCAAATTTAAGTTATGTGTCTTTACATATCCCAACTGTTTGTAATTAATGAGTCTCCCTCATACCAACTACTTGTGCATATGATGGTGGTAGTCCTGCAACTTTGACATTTCCAGTTGATGCCTGGTTGTAGGGTGGTGGGGTGCCTAAGTGGGGCTCATACATTTCATTACCATTACGTGTAAATCGTATAGTCGTAAAGTCTTGATGCGCAGCCTTGAATAAACAAACACGAAAAATTATTAAACACAGGGTGTAGATTTTAAGTTATCAAACAGGTAGCGTAAATTTGATGTTATTAAACATGTAGGCTAGCGTAAATTTGAAGTAATTATAATTACAAGTTTTAAACTACATGTTAATCATTTGGGAACAGGGCATTTCCCCCCTGTCAATTACCCCCCTGACATTTCCCCCCTGTCAATTACCCCCTGCCCAGTAGGACATTACCCCCCAGGGACAGGGTTAGAGTTAGGGCTAGGTTTAGGGCTAGGGTTAGGGCTAAGATTAGGGTTAGGGCTAGAGCTAGTGTTAGGGTTGTGTCTAGCATTGGTTTTGTGTGGGGTAATTGACAGGGGTGTATTTGCTCTGGGAGGGGGGGGGGGGTAAATACGGGGGGGGGGGGGTAATGTCCTGTAGCCAATCATTTAAAGTAACACATACAAATAGAACAGAACAATATTAAAATACAAATTAATTGCTTAGTTTTCCTAACCATTGAGTCCACTTCCTGCAGGGGTGAATAACTGTAGCCACTTATTATTATAGTTCCATTTGAAAGAAGTCTGTACCTCCACAGACATGCACACAGTGATAAAAGAAACATGAAGAAGAGAACTCCACACCTGCAAGAGTTTATTAATTTATAACAATTTATAAGTTATAATCAATACAAATTTATTATTTTAAAGAAAATGGAAGTTGAATACACAAGAAAATATGATAGGCTATATAGTAGTGCCTACAATCTTAATCTTGATTTTATAAAAACATTCTAAAGTGATAAAATTTTTTGAAAAGAGTAAGTCTCAAACTGAAATTATACAAGACCGTACACACAGTAATTAATTTAAAGCCAATGCAATAATTTATATCCACAATATAATGTTTAATAGTTAATTGAATTAAACTAAAATAAACCTACATTACAAAAATAATATGCAGTAATTTTTAAAATAAGTAGGCCTACATAGTTTTTTTAAAGATTGTATAGAAGTAGTTGAAGTTTAGAACATTCTTTACCAGAAATACCAAAGATCCCAAACTTTGTAGGATGGACAGCATGTATTGTCTCCACAGCAATATTCTTCTTCAGTGCATCTGAATATAAGGGCAATTTTAACATTTTTTTCAAAACATTAGGGTGTTAAATTTAAACATTAAACTTGCCTGTTTCAAGATTTAACTTATGTTTGTAGTTTATGCTTGTGTATGTTTTGTGTCTGCGGTTATGTTTGCCTAAATGCCTTACATTTGGGGTTTAGTTGGTTGTGGTTAGGGTTAAGTTAAGATTTATAGTTAGGCCAGCGCAGGGCCTGGCCAGGACGGCTATTATATATATATATATATATATATATATATATATATATATATATATATACACACACATACAGTTACTTACTTATCATTGTCACAATAATAGCAATCGACCTGAAAAAGATAAAAATATTTTATAGGCTTATTAATAATTGTCAAATGAAAAAGTATAGAACAGTGTACAGCGAAAGTGTAATTAACAATTAAGAGATGTGACACCATTATGTATTGACTATTGAAGACTAATTTCCAAATGCTATTTTTGTGCTTTAAAGTATTATGAATAATTATAATTAATAATTCTAAACGAATACTCTTCTTGCCTTAATTCAGTATATTTCTTTTTTACTTACTAAACTTATTTAGGCAGTAGCCAAGACAATATGTATGCTACCATATAATTTTATTCTTTTAAGCTTAAGAGACGTACATTAAGAATTAGCCCTATAGTTAATTTGATAGGCCTTCTTAGTAAATTAAATGAGTCTAGATTTGGTCACCAAGTAAGTATTATATATTATTATATTACTAATAATTAAAGGCCTACTAAACCTATAGAGTAGGCTAAAGATCGATAATATATGGGCCAAAAAAATTAATTTAAAACATTAGGTCTAATATTTGATAGGCTTATTAATCCATTTTCAATTTTATTTTGAAATTAACTGAAATGATCATATAATTTAAGTTAATTAACTATAATAGTTTTGCTATACTGTTGGGAAAGCTCTAGAGAAAACATAAGGAAATTTCAAAGACCATGACGTCACATAGAACATATAGGAAGTTTTCAAAACAAAACGAAATATATACAGTTCTAGAGCCAAAAAAGTACACTCAATTAAATGATGTAATTGATTCTAGAGTAAACATATAATTAAAAAGTAATTGCCTTAAAAAAATCCACAATAATAATGACATCATCTATACTTGATTATAAAGACACTAACATTACCACCTAATTTATTTGTCTAATCTAAAAAGTGATCTGCATACAGTTTCTTTCAGGCATTTCTTTAAGGAGATTTTACGTTTCCGGATAAATTTGAATTTGAGGTAATTTTAGTTTTGGTTTCAGTTTAGATACTGTCGATTTCAGTATTTGTTAATGTCAAATGGAAGCTAATTCTTTACTTTAACTAGGGCCTATATAAAAGATAAAATCACTCAAAATGTCTGTATTGAATACATTTTTGTTTTTGATGAGATTGTTTATATAAGGCCCCTATTGTTTTGAGTTTATAATATTTAATTCATACAAAAAGCAAGGTGGTTAGTTGAGGACAAGCCCGGAGTTCATTCTCCTAGCGAACTATTGTTCAGATCAAGTATCCACCAGTATAGATCTCAGAAAAGGCAACATTAGTCAACAAGTCATCAACTTATAATTACTAATACTTATTAACACAGAAGACAGAAGGAACAGTGAACACTGATCAGTCATTAATTACAATTATTATTAGTCATTGAGTTCATTGAGTCATTAGTTATCATTAGTATTTTAGTTTAGTAAGCTTAGTAATAGTAGTTTAGTATTTAGTAAGTTTACTTAGTAGCCTAATCATTAGTTTAGTTAGTTAGTTAGGCATGCCGTGGTGGTAGGATAAAACTAAGCCACACTGCTAGATTTGGGTCATTTACCTACAATTAATTACTAGATCTAAAAGTATAACAAAGAGCACAAAGAAAAACTCAGTCAAACTGATTCAACCCAACCAAAGAAAGAGGAAGAGGTCAGTTGTGATTTTTTTCTTTCTTACACTCAAACGAGTAGGCCTAAATATATTATTATTATATTCAATATTCATGTCAAATAGGCCCTACTAATTATTAACTATGTAGGTTAAAGGGTTTTAATTTTAAAAACACAAATTTAAAATCGCGTAAATTACTCACTGCTTCGATAAACGTTAAAAACACGAAGAAAGAAAGTTGCACCGTTCTTTCTGTTTTGGGAGCCATCTTTACGACCTTTGAACTATCAGCTGGAGCGATAGTGCTGTCCTCGATCATTATAAAAAATTATGAGTTACCTCTCTTTAATAATTAACTTCACTGTTTTACTGTATGCCCTCTGTCAGATTTTAAAGCAAATGTAAACGTTATATATCTAATCTTTTAATTAAACCTTTTAACTTAGCCTTTTTTTCACAATAGCAATAATAGAAAACATTCCAATTGTTAAGTTTATCTTTTCTCTAATAATAAAATAAGGGAAATACAATGCCAAACATTGTTCTCTGACCTGATTGAATTAGAATACGTTGAACACATCTGCTTTTGTATTTGAAATAGATTAACCACGCCGCCCCCCCCCCCCCGAACAAAACAGAATTTAAATAGAAAATATCTACTTTTACCAGTTTCAGCCCTCCCCCCCCCCCCCCCCTGAGAATTCAATCAGGCTGCGAAAATGTCAAGTGATCAAGCCCATACCCCCCCCCCCCCCCCCCCTGGAGAAAAAAAGTCAGAAAGAAACAGTCTGAATGATTGAGGATTAGCGGCCAAAAGTAGAAAACGGGTCTAAATTATAGATATCGGGTCTGCGTTTAGCCTTTGCGACCTGTGTTTCTTTCAAACTTTTTTCTCTCCCGGGGATGGGGGCGCTGAAATTTTCGGGGGTGATGGGGGCGGACTAAATTTTACGGGGATGGGAGGGGGGCGGAAACTGGTAAAAGTAAATATTTTCTATAGAAATTCTATTTTGTTCGATGGGACGGTAGACATTCTACAGGGTGCTCATCCCCCCCCCCCCTCCCCCTCCCCTGAAGAGTTGCTGAAAGAAACTCAGAATTCGACTTTTGTCAAGTTTACAAGGTTACTATATTTACTATCCATGTGCATTAATTACGTATAGATTTCATAGATCAAGGTTGCCAGATAAAGTATTGTGGTAATGTCTACATTTAGCGTCTATACAATAGAATAGGATGGCGTCATTGATGGTTGCATAAAATATAGAATTAAGAATCGAATTCCGAAAACGATACTCAATAATAATAACGTCATTGATAATAGAGACAAAAAATAAATAAACGCCTAATTTAATTGTCTAACTTTAGAAGTGAATGTTAAATACAGAAAACAAATGCCAGAAAAGTAAAAAAAAAATGCGTTTGTATCAGTATTACGGTTGGGATTATTAGGCGTTTTATTTCAAGTTAAATATCCGGATCCGGTTAAAGTGCCGATTCTGGATAAAAATCCGTTTTCAGTTATATTTTCCGTTTCCAGTTAAATTTGAAGTTTAGGTAGTGCTTTTAGTTTTGGTTTCGGTTTAGAGAAAAAGACAACACCAACATAGCGCCCGTTGTATGTCTCCCTCAACAGGCCATGTATCCAGTGTTTCTTCCAGACTTTTTCTCCGGGGGGGGGGGGGCACTTAAAATTTTCGGGGGGGGGGGCGGTAGACTTTCTTCGGGGGGGGGGGGGCGGACACTGTTAAAAGTATATATTTTCTATATAAATTATATAAATTTCATTTCGTTCGGGGGGCGGTAAAAAAATTTCGTGGGGGGCTTCGCCCCCCCCCCCCCCCCCCGAAGAGATGCCTGGAAGAAACTCTGCATGTATCTAGTGTTTAATAATTTTCCTTTTAGCACACACTCACAACACAATCTACTCTCACGAGTCTACACCGCTTTATATATCATCAACATCCACACCACACTACTGACCATCCACACACACAGAACACGATACTCATATCAACACCACACTGCGCGGCATCAGCATCATGCACATCCACATCTACACCACACTGCCCGTTATTCACAGCCACCTGTTACACACGAACTCTTTGCCCGTCAACATTGTCGTTGTCCAAAAAAAAAATTTTTTTAAATCTGGTGCACTTTAATCGTTTTTCTTTTAAATTTACAAATGTCATACTGCATTAGTTATTAAACGATTAGCATTACGTAAACAAGTAAGCCATTGAAAACCATAATGTAACCGTACTTTGAACTCAGCTACTGTGTCACCCATCTGATGTAATGAAGCCTTATGTGAACCAGTAATCTCGTGATTATCATAGACGAATATTTGAATCGATCTCACCTTTACGTACTTACATCCTGATGATGACAAAAGCGTGTACTCAGTGTACTCTCAGCTCTGAAGTGTACCTGACTCTCGTTAGGGAAAGTAAAGGCGGTTGGTCTTAGTGCTGACCACACTACCTCGTCATATGTCTAGGTCACTGAAAAAGGTTAACTCTATTCCACGTGCACCATGCACTGTCAGGTTTTAAGTGTACAGTGCACCTATCGTTATTTTTCATGCTTTCTAAGGCATGCATCTGGTCTAAGTACATAACTAACTGCCATTATTGAAAAAAAAATCATTCAACGACTCCAACCAAATGCGGAAAACGGAATTATTTTTTTTAATAAATAAGAACACATTTTAAATTCTACACACACCGATGTACGAGCATTTTACTTACCTATTCCTTTAGCCCCTAGTTAAATAAAGCGGGAGTGATCTCCCCTAAACTTTCTCGAATATTCTTATATAACGCTAGGGGGATGGCAACTCGGGATATAGACATGATTTTAGATAAGTTTTTACATACTTAAGCTTTTTTAAAAATAGAATAGAATCTCGGGTGAAAAAGAATTGCGCACCAAGTGAACGGCAAACAATATGTTTCTAATAGTGCGTAGTATTAGTACTTCATTAATTCATATGCGTTTTTTGATCGGAAATATCGTAAAGTACTACTTCCGGTCGACGACAATTACTCAAAATTTGACAGATCTTTTACTTATATGTGAAATTTCGTTTATTTATGTGAAACAGTACTCAAGTTATAGGCTTTTGAAAAACCAAAAGTAAAATAAATTCCACTTCCGGTTACCGAAAATCGCTAAAAAGTTGATACAGATATGCACATTCTGATATAATACTCTTATATGAAATTTCATCAACCTATCTGTAACCGTTCTCAAGTTATCGTGTCCACAGACATACACACACATACTAACACAAAGAGGAAATGGCGATGAATCGGGCACACGCTAAGGGAGGACGATGGCGATAGAGCTTTGGAGTGGAACGCCCCAGGAAGACATGGCGACGCAGAGGTCGACACGGAAAGACATTGCGACGCAGGGGTCGACACGGAAAGACATGGCGACGCAGGAGTCGACACGGAAAGACATGACGACGCAGGGGTCGATCCAGAAAGACATGGCGACACAGGGGTCGACAGACATGGCGACGCAGGGGTCGACACAGGAAGACATGGCAATGTAGCTTGCTGGCGGAGGATGAACGGATAGGAAGGAACTGGGGAAGAGCTGAAAGGACTGGCAGAAGAGAGTGGAGAATGGAAAGTTTTGACAGAGACCCTATGCTCCGAAAGGAACGAAAATAAAAAATGATCATGATGTGAGATTTCAATCAATAAATTGAAGTGTCTATCAAAATAGCACGTAGGGATAGCAGGAATACTATGTATTCGGTATTCTATAACAGTCATATCAAGACTTAAGCAATTTCAAAACGCCCCTAATGCTGTTTCACAATATTTCATCAGTTTGCGATGATTATAGATTCTGCTGGCTATAGGCCAGTGTTTCTTCCAGACTTTTTTCTCCGGGGGGGGGGGGGGGCACTTGAAATTTTCGGGGGGGGGGGGGGGCGGTAGACTTTCTTCGGGGGGGGGGGGGGGCGGACACTGTTAAAAGTATATATTTTCTATATAAATTATATAAATTTCATTTCGTTCGGGGGGGGGGGGGGGGGGCGGTAAAAAATTTTCGCATACGAAAGATTTACACAACAACAAGTAAACGTCTATAGAATGATATAGATATGTTATACTTCTGGTGAAGGCGGGGTCGGACTTAAGTGAAATGTTGACGAGGGGAGGGGGGGGGGGGGGGAGTGTGACACCACAATTTTGCATTATAAAAAGTATTTTTTTAAACTAGGTATTAGCAGTTATTTGGCAATTTATGGCTTTTTGTAAATTTTAATTAAACCTAATTCAACACAATTAATCTCTACCAAGGTAAATAAATATTTTAAAGTAAGAAACTAGATAACATTTTTAGAACGAAATCGCTTTTTTAGGTTGAAATGTTATTAATTTTAGGAGGGCGTGGAGTTGGGGGGGGGGGGGGGGTGTCTGAATTTTTACGACGAAAGAAACGAAGAGTAAAAATCGACCAAAAAATGCGTGAAATTATTTATTGACGATTCGTTCAGCTAATGTAGAACTGTGATTTTGTGCAGAAGTTGTTTTGCGATTTTTTTGTGTGTTTTTCTTTAAATTATACGCCATATTAATTTGCAGCATGGATTTAATTTAGCTAAAAGTTCAAATTGCGACGGGATGAATTCCCTAACCTTTTACCCAATCTTTCTAATTAAATTAATTTATAAAATATAGGCCACAATCTTTAAAATATTCGCACTTTATAGGGACCAAATTTTTAAGCGTTAACACAACACTTTATTTTGCATTATAAATTGAATTTTGGAAAATAATAATACTTTCGTGTTAAAAATACACTTCAAAAAATTTGAAAAATTTGAAAAATTTTGGCATTTTATCGATCAAATCATTAATCGTGTACCCGAATTTTTCATTTTCATAAAAATGTGTATGCTGGAAAAATTTCTTCCAAGGCAGTAGCTCCACCATCCCGCCACGACCCAAAGACCAAAGTAAAACAACGCCATTATCAATATTTGGCCGCGTGCGGGGGTGTAACTAAAACAAGCTGTGGGGGCCAATCGATAGGAACACGGAGTTTGATTCTCCAAGTTGTCGCACGCGCTGCTAGCTGCCCCGCTCAACAAAACTGATCTTTTTCAGCAGAGACCTCGCAACATTCAGCACACAGTTCCTCACATCTGAGGAACTCTTTTGTAGTTTCGGTTTTCTTTTGTTCAAAGATTTTAAAGTTATATTATTTAAGTATTTAGATCTATTTATTTTATAAAAACAATTTTTTTATCTTTATATAGAATTTTTTTTTTTAAATTAGAAAATCTCAACAAAAAAAATACTATTATTGAAAAATAAAGTAAAAATATTTTGAAGACAGTTATGATTGAACGTTTTATCATATGCAGTTACTAGCGACTGGGTTTTTAAAAATCTGATCTACGTTTGATGTTGGCATGGGGGATACGCTGTTGATGTCCTAACCTGGTTAATCGGTTTATAATACTGAAGACTTTCGACAACCTGAAGCAGTTCTCTATATTACCTGGAGTCCGTACGAAGATTTCCGTCTACACAGAGTCTAGGAACTAAACGAAGACGTCCACCTACCAGGAGTCTTAGGACAAGAGGAAGGAGCTCTACTAGAGTCTGGAAACTAGACAAGAAGATATACAGAGTCTAGGAACAAGACAAGAAGATATCCGTCTACGTGAGTCTGAGGACTAGACAAAAAATATTTTCGTCTACACCGAGTCTTCGAACTAGACAAGAAGATATCCATCTACCCAAAGTCTGCGACTAGAACAAAGCAAACCTCCATCTAACCGGAGTCTGGGCTAAAGAAAGCATATTCTCGTCTAACGGAGTCTGGGGCTAAAGAAAGCATATTCTCGTCTAACGGAGTCTGTGGCTAAAGAAAGCAGATTCTCGTCTAACGGAGTCTGGGCTAAAGAAAGCATATTCTCGTCTAACCGGAGTCTGTGGCTAAAGAAAGCATATTCTCGTCTAACGGAGTCTGGGGCTGGAGGAAGCAGTTCCTGGTGTGGGCGGTCTGGTCGTATAAGGCAGATTTGATGTTCACGGCAAGCAGACATTTCTCCAACAACTCTTGGCGCCCCATCTCTTCTCGACTGTAGCCCGGGACCCGCGGCCTAGCTGCCCATGCTTGAAGTATGCGCATGATATTGATGCTTGGGGTGAGTACGTTACATAGTTTGCCTGAAATATACAACATAGTTTGAGTATCTTTCGACATTCTTAACATTGCGCTTAGTACTGAAATATACACCGTGGTTTTAGGATTTTTCTAAATTCATTGATTATAGTACTGAAATATACACCGCAGTTTTAGGATTTTTCTAAATTCATTGATTATAGTACTGAAATATACACCGCAGTTTTAGGATTTTTCTAAATTCATTGATTATAGTACTGAAATATACACCGCAGTTTTAGGATTTTTCTAAATTCGTTGATAACAGTACTGAAATATACACCGGGGTTTTAGGATTTTTCTAAATTCATTGATAACAGTACTGAAATATACACCGGGGTTTTAGGAGTTTTCTAAATTTATTGATAATAGTACTGAAATATACACCGGGCTTTTAGGAGTTTTCTAAATTGACTAGGCATGCTGCCCAGCTTCGCTTAGGCTTTCGAAAACATTGAGAATTTGAATGCTTAATTAATTCGCCAGAGGGTCGGTCTACGACCTCAGGAGTTATGAAGAGGTTCCTCCGTGGACATTTTTTTCGATTTATAGCTCATATAAGGCGCCGGTCAGTCGAGGTCAGTGTTGACCCCCTCATCGTAGACTTTTCGGCCAACCGGCCCTCGTGTTCTGTCGTCCCAAGGCAAGATCGTGCCAAATTTGAAGCGCCTGCGGCGCCGGGAAGTACCCTATCGAACACCCGACAACTTTGCTTTATATATTATAGAGATTAGCAAATTGCATAGATAAACAAAGATTTCAATAAAGTAATTAAGGCCTGAAATACTTTAGTATAGAAATGTATTGTTTGAATAGATTCTAGATCTAGGTAGGGTCTACATCTGTGTAAGTCTAGTTTCTCCGTAGATCTAGATCATCTAGATCTAGAATCCTAATAGAATTTTTTTTTTAAGTTTACCCCGAGCAAAATAATAAAAAAAAAAATTTACCAAGTAGACTTGGTGCGTCTCGAACCCGCACCACCTGCGTGGGTTTAAGTACACTATCATCTCCGCTATATAAGCACCTTATAAAACACGGAGAATAAAAGACGTATTTTAAAATCTTAACTTACGCGAATATGCCTATTTTTTCAAATTAATTTTTTCATCCCAAATTAGCCAGTTCCAAACAAAGACTTTGTATAAAATAATTATGTCTTGAAATAGTTTAGTCCTAATATAGACATTTATTTTTGGAATAGATTCTGGAGAAGTTAGAGTCTAAATCTAGATCTTAGCGTCTACGTCTCGATCTAGATCTAGTTATTGCGTAGATTTGTAGATTTAGTGTACGTAGATCTAAATCAAATTTGAATGAAATAGTTCATTTCTTTTGGTGCCCTGTCAAAACGGCCCGGGACAAATCGGCCCCGTCAAAACGGCCCCGTTAATACGACCCCGTCAAATCGACTCCCGACAAACCGACCCCGTCAAAATAGCCCCGTCAAAAGGGCCCCGACTTATTGGCTCCCGTCAAATGGGCTCCCGTCATATTGACTTGCGACATATAGGCTCCCGACATATGGGCTCCCGATATTTAGGCTCCCGACAAATGGACTCCCGACATATTAACCCCTGACAAATAGGCTCAGGACATATTGGCTCCCGACAAAGCGGCTCCCGACATATTGGCTCCCGACATAAGGGCTCAAGACAAATGGGCTCCCGGCAAATGGGCTCACGACATTTTGGCTACCGACAAATGGGCTCCCGACATATTGGCTCCCGGCAATTGGGCTCCCGACAAAATGACTCCCGACATATTGGCTCCAGAAAAATGAATGATATGACCACTATTGGCATAAAAGTAACCATTGTGTCCTACCTCCAATACCACCATAACCTCTTTTTAATGCCCAAATGAAATTATTTTTTCATGAACCAACATTTATTCACAAACAAATCGAGCCCTTAACAGCTAAATTCCACCAATTCTAAAGTTTTGATAATGTTTAATTTACAACAGAAAAGATCTGTTGCTTAAAAGCGAGCACAGAAGTGTAAATGTATGATATACATGATGTTAACATGATAACAGCATTTTGTTTTGATAACCTACAAGCACAGTGGCGTAGCGAGGTTGGGTGTCACCCGGTGCGGCACTTAATGGTGTCACCCCCCCCCCCCCCCCCAGAGGCGTTGCGACCCTTCCCGGGGACAAACTTTCAAGTTTTCGATTTGCACCCCCCCCCCAAACTTTCGATTTGCACCCCCACCCCCTCAACTTTTTCTCTATATATTTTGCTATTTTTTGCCTTGGTGTCACCCGGTGCGGTCCGCACCCCCCCCCCCCTCGCTACGCCCCTGTACAGGCATATTGCAGTTAGGAAGGTACAGCGTGGACCCTTCTCCCCACACAATGAGTTGGAACAGCCTATATCCGACTCAATTATGGATGTCATAGATAGATGACCCTTAAATTAAAACATACTATATTTTATAATAGATAAACTAGTATAAAAATAAGGCCTGCCGAACAAGAGATGCATACGTTGTATTACATAAGAGTGTTGGATAAGCTAACTCTAAAGAATATTGATGAAGGGGTCCCACTGGCAGATGTCATATTCAATGAGACCGCTTTGCCGGGAGACTTAGTCTCTACAGAAACGGTATTGTCAGTGCAGTGGCGTAGCTAGGATTTTTGGGCCCCTATGCAAAAATTATCAGTGGGCCCCTTCGTCAGCCGTTAGGCCAGTGGCGTCGCTAGGTCGGGTCTCACCCGGTGCGGCACTTCGTATTGTCACCCCCTCCCAGGAAACAAAGTATATATATATATATATATATATATATATATATATATATATATATATATATATATATATATATATATATGTGTGTGTGTGTGTGTGTGTGTCGGCCTACATAAGCCTAAAATTTATATATATGCCACATACTGGTACACGTACGTGTTTAAGCTTTAATCACTGCTGACTTAATAGTAACGATGTTTATCTACAGTCTGTTTATAATACATTGTTTTCTTTATAGTTTACGTTTACGTCGTGGTGTCACACCCCCCCCCCTCTTGATATAATTTTTGATTTGTACTTAGAAGACTATTTAACTTTAACTAATGGATCTGGAAAATGGCATTTCATTCTATAAATTTTACAATTTTTTGCCTTTGGTGTCACCCCCCCCCCCCCCTAAATGGTGTCACCCGTTGCGGTCCGCACCCCCCGCCTCGCCTTCGCTACGCCTCTGCGTTAGGCTACAGAGGAGTTAAACGAAGAGATCAACTTGTACTTACGATGGATATTTTTTAATATATAAATATTCTGAAGGCAACATTTTGTATTTTATATGTCCTGATTTTGTATTTATACTATATTATTATGTTTGCCTACTACTGCTAAAAAGTTTATTTATAGGCTGAATCTCTCAATGTCTTGCACGACAAAGTGATATAGCCTGTAGTGTTATTATAACGATTGGGCTCTGTTTGACCCACAAACACTGAATCCCACTGCCGAAACGGTGGGGGGGGGGGGGCTTTTTGGAACTTTTAACCTTTTTCTTTTTTAAAATTATTTATATGTAACAAATATTAAAATTCCATTATAAAAGTTTTAATTTTTTTATGAGGGAAAAGGGCCCCTATGTGCCTTGGGCCCCATGCCTTGCTTACGCTAGCTTTACGGTAGCTACACCACTGTGTCAGGGGTCCTTTTGTCTGGAGCCAAATTGGCAGGAGCCTTTTTGTCGGGAGCCAAAATGACGCTAGCCTATTTGTCGGGAGGCGTAATGACGGGGGCCGTTTTGTGGAGAAACTAAATGGCGGGAGCCTATTTGTCGAGAGTCGTAATGACAGGGGCCGTTTTGTGGAAAAAACTAAATGACGGGAGACTATATGTCGGGAGCCAAAATGACGGGAGCCTATTTGTCAGGAGCCTTATTGACTGGAGCCCTTTTGTCGGGAGCCTATATAACGGGAGCCTATTTGTCGGTAGCCTAAATGACGGGAGCCTATTTGTCGGGAGCCTATTTGACGGGGTCCATATGTCGCTGGCCCTTTTGACGGGGCCGATTTGACGGGGTCGTTTTGACGGGGTCGTTTTGTCGTGGTCGTTTTGACGGGGCCGTTTCGTCATTGGCCGAATTGACGCCGCACGTTTCTTTTTATTCTAAACACAGCAGATGACGTCATTAGTTAATGTATAAGCAATAGTGACGTCACAGTTTTATGCGTTCTTTTTCACATGTATTAATGCTTTTCCGGTTGCATAAATAATACTGTTTCTCTACATTCGAATACGCCTTTAATTTTTATTTTTCTTCTTTAAATAAAATTGTGGTTATACATTTAAAACATCTATCATATTATTTTCAACAAAAGTCCGTAAAAAGTTCTCGATATATCGCTGCCGATTCTGACGTGATGTCCGGCGAAAATTTTTTGCGGACAGAGAAAGAGAGAGAGAGAGAGAAGAGCGCACAGGGCCTTTTATAGATTAGGATTGTTTATAGTACTGAAATATACTCCATGGTTTTAGCAGCTTTCCAAATTCTTAATCTTAGGTATGATACTGAGATATGCAAAGTCTAGTTTCAATAGTTTTATAAATTCACAACCGTACATACAATATATCTACTATATTTTAGACTAATAATGAAACATAAATTGAAGAACATAACTTTCTTGTGAAAATTATATAATAATGGTATAAAGGAGAGAAGTTTTTTTGGAGAATAAACATAGCTAGAATCTAGAATTTCTTGGCGAATAGCTACATTTTAAGCTACGGATTGGCCATAATATACAGAATTGCACCCAAGTATTATTGTGTTTACTTGGTATTTACTTCAATTTCTTCAACAGTTAGGATGAGTAAACAACATTTTTAATACTGTTTTATCAATATTTTAACACAAGTTTTAGATTTTAAAACAAAAACGCCGAAAAATAAAACCAACGCTAAAAATGCTAAAACGCTATAAAATGCCTATATGCTACATTTAAGATAGGTACACAATTATC